GGATCAAACTCACGACTGCCTGCTTGCAAGGCAGGCGCTTATGCCGCTGAGCTAAATCCCCAGCCCTATGAATAGCTTCTTAAAAAAATAAAAAATGAAAGCTTTGGGGGATGTATTCAAAGAGAAGCACCTGGGCTTAAACCCCAGTGTACGTGCGGGCGTTCAGGGAATGCTTTCCTCTGAGGCTCCTAGTGGCACAAACGTATATACTGTATGTACGTATGCCGGAAAGATTCAGAGGACTGCTGTAATTGTCTTGGATGGCTGGGAGAGTTTAAGCCATGGTCTGTAAGAATTAATTTTTTTTTTTCGGTCTTCTTCATTTTTATCGGTACCAGGGATCGAACTCACGACTGCCTGCTTGCAAGGCAGGTGCTTATGCCGCTGAGCTAAATCCCCAGCCCCTAATTTTTTTAACTATAGAGAAATATATACTGTATTAATGTGAAAGTACGTATTAACTGGATAACACAAGAAGCAGAACAATGTTGTTGTAGTTAGGGGTTGTGCAGAGAACATTTAGAATCAGCACATGGAGTTTATAATATTTTTATAATGGCAATGGGAGTTAACACAAGAAAATGCAGGAAATCTATCCACAACACCAAAAACATAGAATATTTAGTCACGGCCTAAATCCCACAGCAATGTCCCACATGAGTCCAGATGAAAACCCAAAACTCACGACAATGCCTCCCATGAGTTCAACTGGAGTTCCAGAGCCCACAAGAAGCACTTATGCCAGTCTCTTTTATGGATCTGTGCCGGAAAGGCCCAAAGGTCAGCAGTGGGAGCCAGAAAGTCTATGCCAGCAGGATGAAGGAGCTGTGCTGGTGGGATGAGGGTTCTACGCTGGAGCTGAGAAGTCACACTCACAACAACGACCAGGGCTGTCCTGAAAAGCACCACAGCCGTCCTCAGCGACACAGAGGCCCCGAGCTCCTCCAACAACAAGCACAGTCGGGTACCTGCCAGGAAGCAGTGTGAGGAGTTCATCCTGGAGACCAAGCAGCACACATCTTCCCCTCCGGAGCCAGGAAGCAATGTTACATGTGAGGACCAAAGCTTCTCCAGGAGAACCAACAGCTCAGACAGCAACTCGTAGGAGAACCCACAATGCCTCAACACATTAATGCTTTAACGCCCTCCTTCTCCTTCTCCACCTCTCTATTTAGCCTGGCAACTTTCCTCAGGTGGAGCATCTTTGCTCAGTGCCATGGTGATGTAATCCAGCTGGCATTAAATTGACCACCAGTTCTTAACCCATAACAAAGATGTTACCTGTGATAAGAGATACATACGTGTTTTGTATACAAAATCTAGAAGAGCTATTGTTGTCATTTGCTGAGTGTTTACTATCTCACATATGGATAGCATTTTTGTTGTTGTTTGTTTGTTTATTTACAGAGGCAAGGTCTCAAGTAGCCCCGGCTCTTAAGTGCTCGATTAGACATGTGCCACCATACCTGGCTTTTTAAATTTTAAAAGAGTGCTGGGGATATAGCTCAGTGGCACAGTGCCTGCCAGGCAAGCTTGAGGTCCTGAGTTTGATTCCTAGTACAAAAACAAAAATAAATTTTACAAGAGTCCTGGTAAATTACTAAATAATCCAGGCTGGACTCAAATTCATCCTCTCGTCTCAAGCTCCAGAGTACTGGGATTACAGGCATGCACCACCACGCCTAATTTGCACCCCAGATTTCTAATGATGCCAGCCCTGCTGGTCCTCAACCCTTCTCTTCACACAGCACCTTTGCCTGAAGACCACAGCATGCAAGGCATGTCCAGTCACAGCTCCGGAGCTGCGCCTTTCAGGAGGCAAGGCATTTGAGGCCAGGCAGGGGAGGAAGAGCCCCGAGACCTGGGAGGTAAGGAACTGGCTACAAGTGCCGGAAACCCTGGCTCAGCCACTCCCTGGCAGAAAGTGACCTGGGATCTCATTACTGGGCCTCTTTTGTTCCTATGTCTTCTTATCTGTAAACAAGAGTGACTGGGGGAGAAGAGAGGGGTAAAAAATTTTTTTAAATAAGAATAAAAAAAATTTTAAAGAATAAAAATAAATAAGAGTGCTAGTAGATATTTGTTTTGTTACAGTTAGATGTTAATGCCTATAAATTGGTTAAAACAGTGGCACGGTAAGGGGGTTTGATTTTTGGTTTTGATTTTTATTTTGGAAATACCGTTTAGCCAAGCATGGTGGTGCATGACTGCTGAGGCCAGCCTGGGTTACAGCAGGCTCGCTCTCTCTCTCTCTCTCTCTCTCTCTCTCTCTCTCTCTCTCTCTCTCTCTCTCTCTCTCAAAAAAAAGAGAACTATGAAGCCAGGTACCATGGGACAGATCTGTAACCCCAGCACTGAGGGAGGAAGAAGCAGGAGGATGGCAAATTCAAGTTCTGCCTGAACAGCTTAGACACTGCTTCAGAATAAAAAAGTCAAGAAGTGCTGAGTGCATAGCTCAGTAGTGGAGTGTATCTCTGGGTTGGATCCCCAGTGTTGCGGGGAGAAAACAGGGGAACAAGGGAGGAAAGCAAGCAGGCAGGCAGGGAAGGAGGGAGGGCAGCAGGAGGGAGGCGGGCAGGACTGAGAAACGGGGCTGGGTGTGGCTCTGTGGTGCCCTGCTCGCCTAGCACACAGGAGACCCTGGGTTCAAAGCAATCTTCATCCTCACTCCAGATCTTGCTTTCCCCAGTGACACTGAGGAAATCAGAGAGCAGTGTCCAGGCTGGAGGTGTGGCCCGCAGGCTGGCTCTTGTCCCCAGACGCCTCTGTTGACAGACAGCTGGGATCTTTCTCCTCCACAGTAACTTCTCCAGGCCCAGCTTTGCAGGACTCCTGGCATCTGCCGGTGCCTTCCCCAAGGCACCCTGGGGGCGGGGGGTAACTCAAGGAGCCTACCTCAAGCATAAGAATAAGGAAGGAGCTCAGATCTGCAAGGAGAGGAGTTTGACCGCTGTGAGATGAGAAATAGGAGGTCAAGGGGTGGGGTCGGGGTGCAAAGGTAAATATATTTATTTATTTTTTTGTCTTTTTCTTTTTTGTCCGTACCGGGGGATCGAAAAATGTATTTATTTTAAATAAAAATTTATGTGCCTGCCTTGCAAGCAGGCAGTTGTGAGTTCTATCCCTGGTACCGGTAAAAACGAAAAAGACCAAAATAAATAAATAAATAAATAAATTTATTTTGTTTACAAAATATATGGGACCGGGGATTTAGCTCAGCAGCGTAAGTGCCTGCCAGACAAGTGGAAGGTCATGGGTTTAATCCCCAGTACCAAAAAACAACAACAAAAAAAGAAATCAGACCAAGAATTGAGGTTTTAGTAATTCCATTTTTACTTTGTTAAGTTCAAGTCAACAAGCCAGAAAGCCAGGCAAAACGAACTCTTCTGAAACAGTGCCGTACCGGGTTGTGTTCTAGACCCCCAATCTCCCAAATGAGTGTACAGCGGAAATTAAATAAAAAGAGACAAATTTAAAAAAAAAGAGAGAGAGAGAGACAAATTGTATGATTTTTAGGGTTCCAGGAGGGTCAAAACCTTTTAATTAAGTTCAAGACTTCGAGGGTAAAGACAAAGGGTTCTCTGGATCAGTCCATTTAAATTAGGACCAAGGATAAAGTGCAGGCAGTGAGCAGGACCTTGGAAGTCACTTCAAGGATGTCTCCAAATCATGAATCAAGTCAATTCAGTAGCACTGTCTTATCATGAAGACGTGGTAGAAGTGAGACTGTAGGAGTAGTCTTTGCAGCTGCAGTCTCTACCTAGTTAATTGGGGTTGGAGCCAGAGTGTCCGCAGCTACAGCCTTATCTCACCCTTTGAGGTGTCTCTGGCCTCACAGACCACTCCAGACCTCGGCCAGGACCAGTGAGTCACAGGGGTCCACTTACTGTGGATCAGCTCCCGTCGCCAGCAAGGGGCCTGGGACAGACTCACAGATAAACATAGAAAGCCAATTAGTAAAATTTAAATCCTGCTCAGAGCTGCTTGGTAGTGGTCTCCACCAGTACGGCAGAGTTGTGAGATGGAAGATTATATTCTAGACTAAGGCCGCTGGCTCCCTCCCCGCAGAATTGAGAGGCTCCTCTGTATTTCTTGGACACATCCTTCCTGTTCCACTCCTTTGAAGCTGCCTGAATTGTCTCGACTTCCTTTTAACTTCTTTGGAAGCAGTTGATGGCAACTCTGAAAATTTAAGCTGTTTCTAACAAATACTATTAACCTTCAGTTCCTTGTGTGGGGAAGGGCACAATGAAGAAAGCAAGTTTCTTTCTGTAATTCCGGTTGTGAGGAAACCAACTGCAAGGACAATCCATGTGAGAGCAGTTCCCCAGAGTCTGGAACCAGGGCAGCCTGCCCTTTCATTTACATTTAGATACTTTTAAACAAAGTATCTAAATGATGGGTTTTCAGATTTGCTTTGCCTGGGTTTGATTATATTGTTCTGAAATTGTTTTGCTTTTGTCTACTAAAAAAAAAAAAAATACAGCCTAGGTTCTTAGTTCTCTTCAAAAAAGAATGGAGATAAATTTAGTTAGCTACATAAAAAAGCAAATAAATAATATTGGTAATAGTCCTAACACCTTAGGACTGAATCCGGAACTGAAAATATTTCTTAGGATAAGAGGGTTGGTCTGCTGAGTAACTACTTTGTATTTTCTTCAGGAAAATGCAAAGCCAAATTTAAAAAAAAAATTTTTTTTTTAAGAGTCAACAATAATCACTCTGCTGTGGCTAGTTCTGAGAGCCGAAGGGATTGCACGAAGCTCTCATACCCCACACACTCAGGTGTCTGAGGTCCAAAGCAGGTTCCACCCCACTGAGCAGCTCTTGATGCCCTCTTTGGGCTAGGTATTCAGGAGGGGGATGGAAGGAAGGCTTGGTACCAGGTTCGTGGAGGAGGAGGGGGCAGGAGGAAGACCCGGTACCAGGCGGCCACTGCTCCGCTGCTCTGGGGGCGGGGACGGTGAGCCCTGGTCGTCCCCCTGGTCTGTGGCCCTTTTGTGTGGATGCCTGGCAGGGTGACGCAGGCTGTTCCAGCCCGCACAGCTGTGACAGTGGCCGGGTGGAGGCAGGGCCTGGGCAGCAATGCCCTCCCAGATCCTCTGTCTGTGCTCTTGGTGGGCAGAGGCCATGTACCCCCGGGGCCACTGCTTGGCCTGACCCCTGGTGGGGCACCAGCCCAGGAACGGCAGTGATGCCTGGGTCATCAGGTACCTCGATGTCTGGGGGCCTCCTTGCCCTCCTCATGGTCCAACTGTCGTCCAGCTATGCAGGTAAGATGTGTTTATTCTTTCCTAGGGAGACCTTAGAGCAGAAGGGCTCACTTCCTACAGTCATCCTCAAATGTCCACGCAGCTTTCCAAAAGTGGGAGCTGCTGGCTTGGTTTCCCTCTTCTGAAATCTCGGGGCTCCTTGGGGAGTAGAAAGCAAACAAAACTTTGTTTTGTTTGTTTATTTTTTCAGTGCTAGGGGCTGAATTCAGGACCTTGCACATGCTAGGCAAGTGGGCTAAATTTGGTTTAGCTTTGGCTTTTTACCTCTCAAAAGGGAGCCAAACGATGACAAGCTCTCAGAGTTGCCATCAGGGTCAAATGAGCTGCGGGACATGCTGGACAGGGCCTGTGTGTGGCAAACACCAATGTCCGTGGTGTTATAACATCTTGTTATGTTGGGGAGCTCACTCTGCAGAGTCAGGTACCCACATGTTTTTATAGGAGAGCTTTGTTCCCTGCACACAGGAGAAATAATAAAGACAGAGTCCTGGCCTCGGAGAGCTGCAACCCTATGCCCTGCTGAGAGACCTTCTCAGCTCAGAGGAAAAGCCACTTTGCCTCCCAGGAACCCAGGTCATTTGAGAAAGGCGCCCTGCATAGGCAAAAGACCAGGACCATGCTCAGAGCAGCCCCAGGGCTCCAGTGAGGCCCAGACAACAGACTGAAGTCCTCTGAAACAGCTGGGCATGGTGTACACCTGTAATCCCAGCACCCTGGGAAGCTGAGGCAAGAGTATGTCAAATCCAAGCCCAGCATGAGCACTTGGCAATTGAGCAAGATCCTGTTAAAAAAAAAAAAAAAAAAAAAGTGGGGCTGTAGCTTAGAAAGCCCCAGTAATGCAAGAAGAAAGGAGGAAAGGGCTAAACACAGTCACTCCGAGCGGCAGGTGTGAGAGGAGACTTCAGGGGCAATGGGCAGGGATCAAGACAGAGGTAAGGAGGCAGCTAAGTGGGCAGCGGACACAAGCAAAGCCTCGGAGGGGAGATTCAGCTCAGCTGAACCAACAGCAGGCAGGGAGGCCCCTGGGAAAATTAAGCCTCAAGACACTAAACCCACCCAGGCGCAGTGGGGAAGCCTCTCATGGCAGTGCTTTGGGAGGCTGTAAGGAGGGCCGTGGATCTGAGGGAGCTCCTGGCTGGGTGAGACTCTGCCTCAAACTAAAGAATTAGAAAAGGGTCTGGAGATGTACCCAGTGGCAAGGTCCTGAGTTCAATCCCCAGCACTAAAAACAAAGGAAAGACTAAACTACTGTATGAATCAAGCACCTCATTCCTGCCACACACACACACACACACACACACACACACACACACACACTTGTCCCCAGGCTCCCACTGACACCCCTGCTCCCCTGTGTCTCCGCAGGGCAGTTCAGAGTGATGGGACCAGGACGGCCTCTCCGGGCCCTGATTGGGGACGCAGTGGAGCTGCCCTGTCGCCTGTCTCCAGGGAGAAACGCCTCGGGCATGGAGGTGGGGTGGTACCGGCCCCCCTTCTCCAGGGTGGTCCACCTGTACCGCCAGGGCAGGGACCAGGACGCGGAGCAGGCCGCCGAGTACCGCGGCCGGACCGAGCTGCTGAAGGAGGCCATTGGGGAGGGCAGGGTGACCCTCCGGATCCGCAACGTCAGGTTCTCGGACGAGGGCGGCTACACCTGCTTCTTCCGAGACCACTCCTACCAAGAGGAGGCCGCCATGGAGCTGAGAGTGGAAGGTGGGTGCGTGGTGCGCACAGGGGGCGCCCTCCCAGCCTTCGGCTCTCCGGCTGAGGGGGACCCTCACTCTGCAGACTCCGTCGTCCGGTAGAGCTCTGTAAACCAGCGCCCTGGGAGCGCCAGAGCATGGAATTAGCTAAGTAAATGACAGTCTACCATGAATATTATGCAGCCATTAAAAAGATTGTTTTAGAGCTATGCCAGGTGGCTTCAAATAATTCCTGAGGAATTAGTGATAAAAGCAAACTATAGAATACAAGGAACAGAAGCATGAGTGTTTGTTAACCTGTGTATATATATTTGTATATATATGTATTCAAGGAAAAATATGAAATAATACCCCAAGAAAGTTAAAATGGATCACTTTGGTGTAAGAGAGGAAAGAAGGGAGAATAGAAAAAGACAAAAAGAAGAGCCCACAATTACCCATTCACATAAAAGAATACATGCGTCAGGCATGACAGCACAGGTCTATGATTCCGGTTACTCAGGAGGTGGAGGCGGAAGGCTCAGAAAGATGAGATCAATGTAGTGAGACGCTGCCACAGTTGTTTAAAAGCCTAGATATATATATATCAGTGATAGAACCCTTGTTTAGCATGAACAAGATTCCAGGTGCTGAAAAACAGGAGAGAGACAGATAGACAGACTGACAGAAAGAGACAGGGACAGAGACAGAGAGCGGCAGTGCTTCCCTGTAACCCCAGCACTCAGGAGCCTGAGGCAGGAGGTGGCGAGTGCTAGGTCAGCATGGACTGCAAAGTGCGACTGGGTTCCAAGAAACAGACACACAACAACTGTAACCCGACCCGAGGCTGGCCACGAGGAGGCCGTGTGGGAAGACGCCGTCTCAGCCCAGGCACACAGGGGACTCACATCTGTGAGCACAGATCAAAGTGAAAGAACAGTTCTTAGGAAGACAGAGGGCAGAACAGACAGGAAGAGACACCAGGCACCAAATATGCCAAATCATTTGTGTCTGATTATGCTGTGCTCCACAGAAGACTGCGAACACTCAAAAGGGTTAATGTAAGATCCAAGGAGACATCTCAGTTTCACTTGGGGATGTCTTTTTATCACTTATGAAGAAGAACAGTATTCTAAAGAGTCACAAGTGATCCAACCCTAGTGCAATGAATCCTCGATTGATTCTGGGGTTTTTCTTTGGAGACAGGATCTCACTATGTAGCCCAGGTTGGCCTCCAACTCACAGTGATTCTCCTGCCTCAGCCTCCTGAGTGTTGGGACCACATGCGTGTGTCATTACACCCTGTTAAATTTAAGAATTAACTGGTGTGCTGGGGTTTGTTTGTTTGTGATGCTAGGAGACTGGACCCAGGGTCTTCGCACTGAGCTACATCCCCAGAACTTTTCTACTTTTTGAGTTTTGAAATAGGGTCTCCTTTAGTTACTAAACTGCCCAGCCTGATTTGAATTTACAGTCCTCCCAGAGTGCTGAGATAACAGGCCTGTGTCAACAGCCTGACTTCTTTTTTTATTATTATTATTTTTAGGTCGAGACAGGGTCTTCCTAAGTCACTGAGTCGCCCAGGCTGGGCTTGTATTTTCACCTCTGCACTTGGGTTCATGACCTCTGATTTGTTGGCCCCTGGCCAAATCAAGGGAGGACATTTATTTTGGTAAGCAGTAAAAACAGTTTGTTCATAACTAGCTCCAAGGAGTGGAGTACAAGTGTGGGCGTGTGCAGTGTGTGGTCTGCTATAACGGGACAGTGGGACGGCAGCTCAGCTTGGCTCTTCCTGGACCCGGCCTGCTGTTCCTTTTCCTATGGAAATGAAACTGACCTTTGGCCTCCGGGTGCTGGCGTGGGGGACAGGGTGCTGTCCACTCGTCTGGGTGAGGGGGGGCAGTCTATGTCCTGTACCTGAGCGAGTCCAGAGAAGCCATTGTCTCTGGAGGCAAAAATCCAACTTTCAAAGATGCCTTTTGGGGCTGGGGATTTAGCTCAGTGGCATAAGCACCTGCCTTGCTAGCAGGCGGTTGTGAGTTCGATCCCCGGTGCCAATAAAAAAAAAAAAAAGATTCCTTTCGGGTTCCAGTGGCCTCACCTCTTGGGTTGTGCCCTCTACCCTCAGCAGGCAGTGAGAGCAGACCCATCATCCCTCGGTGCCCACCATGCTCTACACCTGGCTGCTTCCACAGCCAGTGGGTCCCACCTTCCTAAAAGTTCCACAAGAAAAGTTCTAACTTTTACCCCTAGTACTGGGGATTAAAACCAGGGTGTCAGCGCACTCAACAAATACACTCCCGCCAGGCTACATCCACAGCCTTTTTTTTAAGACAGCGTCTCGCTGTATAGTTCAGGCTGGGTTTGAACTCACTATGTAGCCCCGCCTGGCCTTGAACTCCCAGGGATCCTCCTGCCCCAGCCTCTCAAGCGCTGGGATTACAAGCATGCACTAGCATGTCTGCTTTTTAATTTTTAAACAGGTTGCATTCCAGGCTGGCTTTGATCTTCCATTGAACCTCCTGCCTCAGACTCCAGGGCTGGGATGACCTGGGTGCACTGCTGTTGTCGGCTCAGGTTGATTTTTACTTTAACTGCCACTGTGGCCCCTGAATTGACTTTCCCTCCTCTAGCTCTGTGTCAGCGCTTCTGCTCCCGTCACCCCTCAGCTTGGGTCCCGTGGCATGAGGATCAGATCCAAATCCCTCGCCCAGCTCTGAGGACTTCCATGAGTCCGACTTCACACACAGTCCTGACTTGAAGTCACTTGTCCTTGTGAGCCACTGGCCCTTTTTGGAAGCAAACCGCTTCTTCAGGACTTGCTGGGTCACCTTCTTAGAAACTCGGCAATGTTCACTGCTTTATTCAATCCAGCTGCTCGATCCCCAGGCAGCAGCATCCGGGGACTGAGCCTTTGGGCCGCTTCTGCCTTTCAGATCCCTTCTACTGGGTTGGCCCAGGAGTGCTGGTCCTCATCGCCGTGCTGCCCGTGCTCCTGCTGCAGATTTGCATGGGCTTCGTCTTCCTCTGCCTGCAGCACAGACTGAGAGGTATGGGCAGAGCTGGCCAGGGCTGCTGGGGTCCCTAATGGGCACTGGTCTCATACAGTTAGGTAAGGGTCACTTCTGACACTTCCGGCTCAGAGCTTCATAGGACAACAAACAAACTGTACAACCCTGTTTCCCTGAAAATAGAGCCTAAACAGAAAAACCATCAACCTTAAAAACTGGTGATCAAAGTGCCAACTCCATGGCCTTTCCTGGCAGCACGGGACACACTGATGACGCTCCTGTGGGTGATAGTGATACAGGGAAATGTGACTCAGAATCCGCTTGAAGTCAGCTGTGCCCAGTTCATGCCCCCTGGAAGCCCAGAATGAATTCAAAGGCAGTGGTGGTTACGAGTAGGAAAGGCTTACTGAGAGACTTACTCAGAGAGAGAGAAAGAGATCCTGAGAGACAAATGGAGTCCCGAGAGGACGGCCACTGAGACCCTTTGTTGGAGGTAATTCCTACTGCAAAATTGTAATGTGGGTACAGTGTGGGTCAGATCATAATCAGCTACAGGATCACAAGTGCTGCTGCTTAGCTGGTACTGAGCCAGTAGAGAAGCGGGGCCTGAAGTGGGACTACATGGGAAGACCAAGGTGTTTTGGGGAAGGGACAGGTCCAGATGCTCTGCTCACCCCCCCCCCCCGGATGACTGAGTAACTGAATTCCTGGACCAGGTGGTGCTAATTACAGCATAAAAGCAACTGCTCATCCACTAGAGAGGCCTGCAGGCCTGGCCTCCCTCAGATGCGCCTCCAGCCACAGTTCTAGTGTCTGTATTTTTGTGCTGACTTCTTTGAGAGCTCAGACTCTCTCTGACTGGACATTAATTTCTATCTAACTTAGTCACCCTTAATAGCAGGGACTTGCCTCTCCCTGTGCGCCATCAGACACCCTCTGGCTCCGTTCTGTGGAGGAGGCAGCAGCTGACCCCCGAGGACAGGATTCTAAGTGCAGAGCCCAGGCCCCTAGGCTGACCTCGGCCACAGGAGGTGTCTCAAGGAGGGCTCTGAACCATTGCCTCTGCCTTCTTCACTAACCAAGCACTCAGGCTGCCTATGCATGAAGCTCTTCTTCTGTGCCCAGGGCATCCTGCTAAGCCCCCAATTCTCTCCCAAGACCAAAGCACAAGAACCATCAACCCCCACCCCCACCCCACCCCACCCCATCCCCACTACCAAGCAGATAGATAGTGCAGAAGGGTGGGCTGGGGCATGTGAGGCAGCACAGGGGTTAGCAGGATCAACAGTGGGGTCTACTCTCTAGCCTTGAATTCACCTCAGATGTTTATCTCTCCATGAAGAGTATCTTCAGCCATCAGGGCTGAGCAGCAAGAACCAGAATGGTGGATTATGGGCCCTAGGTTTGAATTCCACTTTTGGCACTAAACTAAGCACAAAATTCTTGGTTCTCCAGGCCGTAGGTGCTTCACATGTCAAGTAGACATAATATTCTCCCCACCAAATTGCAGGGTCAGATGTGATGGCTCATTTGTAACTTCAGTACTCAGGAAGCCGAGGCTGGAGGATTGCTGTGAGTTTGAGGCCATCCTGGGCTACACAGTGAGTTCAAGTTTAGCCTGAGCTACATAGCAAGACCCAGTCTCAAAATCAAAAAACTAAACTGAATTGTAGGGAGGACTAGAGGGCATGTTATGTAGTTACATATCACAGAGTCAGTTCACAAACCATCAGCTTCCCTAGAGTCTAGTTTCTCCCTCCCTTTGGAGGGGACCAGGGGCCCGCAGGGTGGAGGGGCAGTGTGACCAAGAACTCCAGGTGTGGAGCAAAGAGCAGTGGGGGAGATGGCAGTGTCCTATGTTAGTTTGGGGCACTGTTTACTGGGCCACTTGCATCCTCCATTTCTCTGTTAAATCCCAACTGTACCAGGACTGAGCTGAACACCTGGTCTCAGATCCAGCCCTCATCCCACACAGCTAAGGGTGCTGCCGAGCTGCCAGGAACAGACCGTACACAGGCCAGGGTGCTGGTGTGGAAGGGTTCCCATCTGGTGCCTGAGAAGGAACTAAAAATATTGCCTTTTTCTATTTTAGGAAAACTTCGAGCAGAAATAGGTGAGTTCCAGGCCCTCTGCCCCCATTTATCCTTTTTGGCCTTTTGGAGTAACTGAAATGAGACCACCTCTGTCCCCTCTTCCAGTATTTCTGCTCCCCTCCATTGGAAATACACAATTTAAAACTATAACCAGGGCCGGAGATGTAGCCCAGTGGCACAGGCACTTGCCTGGCAAGCACAATGTCCTGAATTCAATTCCTGGTACAAAAACAATAAAATAAAATAAAACTATAACCAGCCAAGAATTAAGAGGAAATACCTTTGGTCTCCCCTGCCTTCCTCCAAGGCAGAAGTCAAATCCTACAGCTTCCCTGCCTCCAGCGTGTCCCAGTTGTACCGGGGATCAAACTCATGACTGCCTGCTTGCAAGGCAGGCGCTTATGCCGCCGAGCTAATCCCCAGCCCCCAGCATGTCCCAGTTTTAAGTAGTTAACAGAGAAAGGAGAAAGGGGCCCTCTACTAAATCCATTTCTGTGTTCCTGTTTCAGAGAACCTGCACCGGACCTTTGGTGAGTGTGGCCGCCCATCATTCTTCTCCTCAGCCTCAGGAGCCTCCTGGAAAGGCCCCTCCCTCTCCTTTGTGTCTCTGAAGAGGCTGTCAGGTGCACTAACATTGTTGACAGCAAATAAATACAGGCCCAGCACAGTCCAGCTGAGGTGAAGGTACTAGAATAGAACAAAGCACACTCACTGTCCTTTCATGACACGTGACTCATCAGGGAGGGCTTCCTGAAGGAAGAAAAAAGCCACCAAGCCCTAGAAACTTGACCCTGGCCAGCACTGGGAGGGTGAGCAGGAGAATCACTGCAAGTTCAAGGCCAGCCTGGAGTACAAAGTGAGTTCAAGGCTAGCCTGACCTCCACAGTGAAACCATCTAAAAAGACAAACAAAATAAAAACAAAAAACTTGATCCTTTTTTGCTTACTCCAGACTATCTAGTGCCAACAGAAGAGTGCTTGAGTGGTTTTTCTTGCTTTGTTTGGTCTTGGTTTTTTGAGACAAGATTTTGCTCTGCAGTTCAGGCTGGGCTTGAACTATGCAGCCCAGAGCTCAAACTTGCAGTGACCCTCCTGCCTCAGTATCCTGAGTGCTGGGATTGCAAGCATAGCTGAATGTGAGAACTTAACACCTTTTGTATGAGTGGACCCCTTCCAGAATGTTCTTCTTTGGTGCCATGATCAAGACCTGGGCCTGGGGGCTGGGGATTTAGCTCAGCGGCATAAGCGCCTGTCTTGTAAGCAGGCAGCCGTGAGTTCGATCCCTGGTACCGATAAAAAGGAAAAAGACAAAAAAAAATTGATTAAAAAAAAAAAAGACCTGGACCTGGGTACAGAAACAAGTGCTCTCCCAGGGAGCCGCATTCCCAGCCCCCAGAGAAATGTCTGTAAATGTGCACACGGGAACCAGGGACACAGCTCAGCGCACAGGGCCTGCCTGCAAGTGCGAGGTCCTGAGTTGGAGTCCCAGCGCCCTCCCCACAAATACACACAAAATATAACACACAAAATTACAAAGAAAATCATTGTATTAAAATAGTTATCAAAAAATACAATGCATAAAATTACAAAGAAAATCATTGAGATCCAAGCTTGTCAGAAAAAAATCATTACATTGAAATAGTTATAAAAAATCAGTTATTGACATCTGAGCAAATTTCATATAATAAATGTCTTTAAATAACAAAAGTAATGCATTAAATAATATAGCAGCAACTCTAACAATGCAATTTGAAAACAGTGATAAGCATAAACAGTGTCTGAAGATTTCTGTGACTTTTTATTTTTGTGGATGTTTTTAATCCACAAGACAAGCCAGACTCAGAAAGACAAGAATCTCATGTTTTCCCTAATACAGAATCTAGGAATAACATATAAAGGACATGAAAGTAGTGATCACAGCGGGCACAGGTGTGCTGCTCTTGTAGTTTCTGGCTTTGGTGTCTGTAGTTCTAGCGGTGGAATCCAGGGCTCACGGCACACAGCTCGCACTCCACTGACCACACTGTCTGCTGTGCCCACGTGCACCTGGGAGTGGGATGGAGCCCAGGTGTGCACCATCGCTGAGCTCCACCCCTCAGCCTTTTTATCAGGACAAGGTCTCATTAAGTCGCCCAGGCTGGCCTCCAGTTTGTGACCCTCTTGCCTCAGCCTCCAGTGTGGCTGGAATTACAGTTGCGCACCACTGTTCCCAAGTTGATGCATATATTTGCAATGAAGAAAATACTTGCTGAGCACAGTAATGCAGCTCTGTAATCCTAGCACTTGAGAGACTGAGATAGGATTGGGAGTTCAGTCAGCTTGAACTACAGAGTTCAAGGCTAACCTGGAGTATATTGACACACCACTCCCAAAAATAAAAATATGCTAAATCTAGTCAGGAATAGTGGCACATCCTGTAATCCTGGTAATCAGGAGGCTGAGGCAGGAGGATCTCTGGGAGTTAGGAGTGAGCGTGAGCTACAGTGAGTTCAAGACAGCTTAAAATGTAAAGAAACTCTGTCTCAACTCCCTACACACAAAAAAATAAGAAACCTAATAAAAATCCAGGTTGGTAGAACATGCCCGTAATCTCAGCTACTCAGCAGGCTGAGGCAGGAGGATCACAAATTCAAGTCTAGCTAGGGTAAGTAATTTAGTGAGAACTTATCTCAGTAAATAAACACTTTAATGTAGCTCAGTGGTAGAGTTTGCCTAGAAAGTGTGAGGTCTGAGTTCAATCCCTTGTCCAAAAAAAAAAAAAAAGAGAGAGAGAAACCGAAGGAGGAGGAGAACGCTGGGTGAGGTAGAAGCAAAGTCTACTAACTTCATCTGTTCTGGTGAATCGTTCAGATCCCCACTTTCTGAGGGTGCCCTGCTGGAAGATAAGCCTGTTTGCAATCGTGCCGGTTCTTGGGCCTCTGGTCGCCTTGATCATCTGCTACAACTGGCTACACCGAAGACTAGCAGGTGCAGTGCCGGGACAGGGACAGGGACTGGGACGAGTGGGAAGGACAGAGGGCATGTGGCCAGAGCCCTCGTGCTCCAGGGCTCGCTTCCCACGCACTGCCCAGGCGCCCAGGGCCGCTGAGAACTGGTTCTCGTGGGTCCCACAGGCCCACAGGGAGGATGAACAGGAGGCCAGCATCACCCACTGACCATCTATGTTTTTTTGTTTGCAGGGCAGTTTCTTGAGGAGCTAAGTAAGTTCTCTTTCATAAGCTAAGAAGGAAAAGCCAGAAAAGGCAGACTGAAGCAGTGTAGGATGTGGGGTGGCTTAGGGTTCATGATCCATCTCAGGAGGTAGGGGCTGGAGAGTGCAGGACAGAGGGGAGGAGGCAGCGGGGAGGAGCCAAGCACCCTGTGCCCGACTGAACCCTATCAAGGCTCCTTCCCATCCTCTACAGCAGCTGCCTGTGCACCACCCCAAGACCACCCGGACAGATAGGCAGAGAGAAGAGGATTCCAGAGGGCTCTGCAGGTCCTGGGTTTCATAACAGAGACCATAACCACTTTTTAAAGCTATGTTCTCCTTCCAGGGAACCCCTTCTGAGGGAAGCTGTGTCTTGCAGCACTTGTGGTCCCAGGGTACCTGTGTATCCAGCTGCACTCTGTCCTCTCCGCAGCGGGGACACTTGGGGTCCTGCACTTGCACAGACACCAGGAATTCCAGTGGAACCGACGTCCTTCCTGTCATCTCCTTCCTTCCCCCCCCCCCCCACATCTCCCACATCTTCGTACCCTGCACCACCTCCCTCTGCCCGAGGCCAGGCAGGTCCCCATCTCTCCTCAGAGGTTGCTGGTCCTGGAGGAAGACACTGACTGCAGGGTCTCGGTCACAAACTGGGACTCACCAACACCCTCCTTGCATGTCAGCACAGAGACTGCACTGGCAGCTGTTTCTCAGACACCAGCCCTGACTGGGCAGAAGCAGAAGACAGGGTCACCCAGACATCACTGCAAGCCGAGCACACTGCAAGGCGCAGATGCGGTGCATCCTGACCTACCCTGAGCCCCAGCAGGGAGGGCCCTGGGAACCAGGCCCAGTGCAGCTGCATCTGCTCAAACACGCATGCTGCCTCTCCCGCCCTGCCTGCCTGCCTGCCTCTCCTCCCATCTTTATATTCATCAGAGCACCCAGTTTTATTCAACAATTACTACTTGATGGTCTATCAGACACAGAAACAGCTAGGTGCTAATGAATAATAACACCAGTTTCCCTGTGCACACTTCTCTCACTCCTTTGTTGTCTGCTCACCTTTCATCCTCCAGCTGGGCCACCTGCCTACCAGGCTCAGGCTTCAGGGGAACCAGCAAGGGAAGACCTGGGCCAGCGGCCTCTATTCCTGCGTCAGGACCCTCACTGCCCCCTTCGTTGATCTTCTCCACATGCTTTGTCCCTTGCTTCCCCTGTCTTATGGCTATGGATCCTAAACACTCGATTTCCTCTGCGTCTCCACTCCTTCCTGGCCACAGGGGAGGCGGTTTCAGGCAAGAAGCCGAGCCGCTGACCCAGGACCAGCCGGCATTGCTGCCTGCCCCTGGAGACCTTCCAGTGATCCAGCAGCCCCTCCTTCTCCCCGAAGCAGCGGTCGCACACAGGGCAGCAGTAGACTTTCTGCCTCCAGTGGGTCTGCTGGTGCCGGGCCAGCTGGGAGGCGGAGTTGAAGCACTGGCCGCAGTGGAAGCATCGGGCCAGTGGCTCCCCGAGGTGCACCTCCTGGTGCCTGGAGAGCCAGGCTCTCTTGCTGAAAGTCACAGGACAGTGTGGGCAGGAGAAGAGCTTGCATCTCGGCCTTGAGGGCTTTGCTGGTGGAGAGCTGGCTCTACTGTCCCGGCAGGATGTCCTGGTGCTGGGCGCCTGGCTCTTGGTCACAGGTGCTTGGTACCTAAGTTCCGGTGCCTGGGTTTGGGCCCTAGGGCCTTCGGTGCTAAGCACAGGGCGCTGGGTCCTGGCCACTGGTGTATGGTTCCTATCCCCAAGGCCCTGGTGGGACCTGGGACCCTGGAACCTTGCTGTGGGGCCCACAACCTTGGCAACACGCTCAGGGTTTCCAGCCGCTGGCTCCTGATTCTGGTGAATCTTCTGGTGACGCTTGACCTCTGACTGGTCCCGAAAGGCCTTCCCACACACGGGACACGAGTGGGGCCGATAACCCAGGTGCACGCGGAGGTGGCGGCTGAGCCCGGAAGCATCACAGTATGTCTTGTCACAGAGTGAGCAGGAGAAGGGCCGCTCCCCAAGGTGTGTGCGCCAGTGGTAGTTCAGGGCCTTGGGGTTCCGGAACAGCTTCCCACACTGGTCGCAGCTGTTGTCCTTCTTGGGGCTGTGGATGAACTGGTGGCTGTGGAGGTATGAACTCCTGCTGAAGCGCTTGCCACAGGTGCAGCAGGAGAAGGGCAGCTCCGGCCAGGCTGCCTGAGACGCCGGGCTCCTGTCCCGGGACCCGCCAGGTGTGGAGGGCGGGCCCCGGCCAGGCCCTCTATGAGCACGGCGGGCCTTCTTGCCGCCAGCCCCATCACCTTTCGGATTCCGCTGATGTCGCCGCTTCTTGCCTGCCATAGTGAGAGAGGAAGCATAAGACAAGATCCACCAGGAGAGAGATAACACAGCTTCCCTTTCAGCGCGAGACCCTCCTCCCTTCCTGCCCAATATACCTCTAAAGCTGGAGGTGAGAAAAGCTTTAGGCTTTTCACATTACAAGCAAATACAAATTTAACTAGAATCCTCCAATAATGTTGGAGATCTAAATTTTAATTTTAGCCACGTTTGTACTTTTTCTTTTTGTCTTTTTCAGACAGGGTCTTGCTATGTAGTTCGGGCTAGCCCCAAGTCACAGCAACTCTCCTGCCTCCACCTCCCGAGTGCTGGGAGTATAGGTGTACCACACCATGCCTGCCACAGCCCCATTTCTTGAAATCCATCTTCTGTCCTTCCTGTTCTGCTCCCACAGGTCCCCCTGCACCCCCAGATGACCATGGTACATAGTAACTCTTCTACCTGGGACTTTGTATGCTTTCGGTTACTCAGAGTCAATTACAGCCCGAAAATATTGAATGGAAAACATATTTTTAGAAAGTTGACATTCACAAAATTAATACAAAATTTACTACAAACTATGACAGTCATTCTGTTTTTATTACTGTTGTTTAATCTTCTTCTGTGCCTAATTTATATGTTAAACTTTATTACAGTTAAGTACACACAGGATAACACACAGTATACGTGGGGTTAGATGCTGTCTGGGTGGTGGCTTGGGAATGAACCTGTATGGATAGAGGAGGACCCCACTGGTCCCTACGCTGGGCCCGGGGCCTAGGGCGCTCGCATGCTAACCAGGCACTCGACCACTGACATACAACCCCAGCCCAAGGGAGGACAATTACATGTCATTCAAACGGGGACACTTGAGAGTAAAATTATTAACAGTTAACAATAATTATCAATAATCAAGATGGAGTTAGCAGTGTAACTGAGACTAGTCTGGGAAACGGGGAAGTATAATCAGCCTGACCTGACAGCTCTCACGGTTTTTTCAATACTAGGTATTGAACCCAGAACCTCTGTACTGAGCTACATCCCCAGCTCTTTTAAACAATTTTTGTTTCGAGACAGGATCTCTGGACTCCCAACCAGGATTTGAACTGGGGATTATCTTGCCTTGGTCTCCCGAAGTGCTGGGATTAAAGGGAGTGACAATGAGCCCAGCATCTCCCAACCCTTCGCTTCCAGGTTCCAGTCTTCTCTGCTCTAAACACCATCAAGTTTACCTTCCCTGCCTCTCTTTCCTTCTAGGAAGAGCTTTTTGATCAATAGCAGTGAGCATGCAATCACCCAGTACACGCACACTGGAGCCATTCCCTGTCCTGAAAGGCTCAGACACTCACCATGAAGTCAAGGTCTCTTCCAGCTGAGTCTGCCCAGCTGGAGAGGTGCAGATTAGGAGAAGGGGACACAGTCCCCTTCGTCACCTCAGTCAGCTCTTCACCTTGCCGGGGACTGTGCTGGCCCTCATCTTCTCCTCTCCTTTACAACTCTTACCTGAAGGGCGGGCTTTTCCTCGTGGGGAATGGAGATCTGCTCTGCTTTGCCTCTCTTCCTGCTCAGGCTTGATGATCAGATCTCGTCTCAGCACAAATACCCTGGCTGGTGAATGGGATTGAGAAAGAGTTGAGTTGGACTTAGGCTTGGATGGGGGCGACGGGCCATCTCTTATATGCTTGGTTCAAGAACTTTAATGTGGGTTGCTCAGATGTGGGAGGAAGACATGCAGAAGGCCAGCTCCTAGCAGCATCTCTGGCACGTGAGTCTTAGAGGCTTCTGTTTCTTGTCCTTTACCCGAGCCTATCCACCTGCCCAGAGAAACCTGATATTCTAGGCCCCCACAACGGGCGCTTGGCAGGACACCTCAGCCTCTCACCCACAAACAAGAGGTTCCTGAAGGTTTCAGACATAACATCATGGTGAAGGAGCCTCTGACTGGCAGTCAGACAGTCCCACTCCTCCGGGGTGAAATTCACGGCCACATCCTCCAGGGTGATCGGCATCTGGAAGAGCAGGACAGATGCAGCAGGGAGTGTGACAGCGAGACCGACACCCAGTCTCAGAGTTCAGAAAATGAAACCTACAGGAAAAAGAAAACCCTGAAGGGAGAGGGATACAAAGACAGGCACAAGGCCAGCAGCTACCACCTCTCAAAAGGGCAGAGAAGAGAAATGGAGGGAAATACACTGCAAAAACAAGAACAAAGCAAAACTAAAAAGCCCCAAATGAAGGTTGCTCCCCAGAAAATCTCGGGAAGTACCTGTGAGGGCCATTGAGAAGACGGCAGCTCCTTCTCCTGTCTGCACAGAACAGTGTGAGGTCCACTGGGATGGCGGGTGGGAGGAATGGACACAGAGCCCCTGGGCATGGGCCAGGCCCCACAGCCCCGAACCTTCCAGCAGTGGTCGCTCTGTGGCTACCAAACTCACGCAGGGAGTCGTACCTTAGCATCCATGGTGCCTCTTTTTAGCTTCATCCAGAGCTGGCCTGGCCTCCAGGGCTGAATGGCCTCCTGAGGGCCCTTTGCATCACTGTCACTGGGCAGAGAGAGATGCCCCTTGCAGGCCACCGGGCTCGGTATGGCCTCCTGGGAGAAATCCATCGGCTGCAAGGGGCAATCTTCCCCGTCAGCTCTGTCAGCTGAGCTCCCCTCTTTGGCAGTGGAGAACACCTCTGGTTCTGTCACAGCGTGGACCACAGGGGTCTGGGCCCTGGACGCCCTGCGCTTAGCTGCCATTATCCAGCAATACCAGGCGGGGACTGGGCATCTGTCAACTGCTCCGGCCCACTTCTAGGCACAGGAGGCACCCAGCTCTCAGAACCTGAGGTCAGAAAGAAACGGCATCTCAACAGTGGGAGGAAGAAATGGGCCTCCTACTTGGTTAGAAAAGGGCCCCCATCACAGTGCTCTCCGGGGTGCCACTGAGTAACAATTACTGAATCCACCTTCGTTTCTGCTTGCCTATTTTGGTTTTTGAGACAGGGTCTTGCTATCTTCTAGGATGCTATCCTTTTGCCTCAGCCTCCTAGAGTTGGGAATACAGGAATGCAGCCCAGCGCCCAGCTACTGACCCCATCTTAAGGAATCTGTAGCACAGAGATACTGAGTAATTATCCAAGGACATTCTTGACGTGTGTGGGACCTGGGGGGTTTTTCTGGCTTTGTTTTTTAGTTTTTTGAGCAGGGGCTCTATGTAGTTCAGGCTGCCCTTGAACTTCCTATATCCCAGGCTGGTTTCAAACTTGCAGTGATCCTCCTGCCTCAGCCTCCCTGCATGCTCCACCATGCAACCTGGAGTTGACGTTTAGACTCAGTGCCACAAAGAAGCGTGAGGGGCAATCAGGCTAGATCAGTCACAAACCACTGAGCCAGTCTCTTCATTCTGACTTGGTTTCACTGGAAATGTGGGAATGAAGATGCTAAGAACCCAGCCAAAACCAAAAATATTTGATTACATGACCTAGATTTCTTTTCAGTTTGGGGATCAAACACTCAAGGCCTTGGCAGACAAACATGCTACCATGATGAACTGAATTTGAATATACAGATGCTCTTCAACTTATAGAGGGGTAATGCTCTGATGAAAATGCTGTTGTGTCAGAAGTGCACTCAATCCTCTTAACCCACAGAACACCACAGCCAGGCGGGTGTGTTGGCACATGCCTGTAATCTTGTCTCAGGAGGCTGAGGTGGGAGGATCACTGGGAGTCCAAGGCCAGCCTGAACTACATAGTGAGACCCTGTCTCAACTTGCCCACCTCCTCCCAAAAGAGAACACCAGAGCCAGCAGAACAGCACAGCACAGAGCCCGGAGCTGACTGGTCGCCCAGGAGCTGCAGGCTGCTGTCACTGCCCAGCATCGGGAGGGTATCAGTGTCTTCCCAAGCCTATCACACGGGGTTTCTTTCATAGGGAGATAGATCTTTTAGGGAGAGCGAAAGAAGGGACAGGAAGGAGACTAAAAAGAATTACGATGCGTTATGTACAGGCACCAACTCCTCACGATGAACATAATCATCAGGTACTCCAAATATATACTAATAAAATACAAATTTTAAAAATGCATTCAAAGAAAGAGCAAGTATCAGTGTGTTACACACCACATACTACCAGCCTGGAGAAAAGATTCAAACTGAAAATCCAAACTACAATTTCCACTGAACTGGCAAGGCTTCCGACCACTGCAAAGTCGAAGCCCCACATGGTGGCCACACAGGCCAGTAATCCCATCCCAGGTAGGACTGCCACTAGTACCACAAGTCCCAGACCAGCCCCAACCACGTGGCCAGACTGTCTCAAGTGAAAAAATAAAACCGTAAGCTGAAGCATCATAGTCATGCCACTGAAAGCTGGGATCATCTGTCTAGCTAGACCCTTGTAAAGAGCAGTACTGAGAACACAGCAGGGCTTCCTCAGGGGGTACAGTGAGCTGGGCACAACCCCCCCCACACACACACCACACCACCATTGATGAGTCCCTGCTAATCCAGCAGAGCTGAAGCCTGTCCCTTCCTCCCGCTGGCGGCCACTCACTCACATCTCCCCTCCTATCAGATGCTAAGGAGAGAGTTAGGGCAAAAGAACCTGTTGGCTTTTTTCCTTTTGAGCTTTTTTTTTTTTTTTTAAATCCGGAATCAAACTTATGACTCGGTGCTTGCATGCAGGCGCTGTGCTGCTGAGCTACATCCAGGCCCTCTTTTGTCTTTTTGAGACAAGCTTTTGCTTACGGAGTTCAGGCTGGCCTTAAACTCACTATGTAGCCCAAACTGGCCTTGAACTCAGAGATCCTCCTGCCTCAGCCTGCCCAGTGTGGAACTACAGGCGCGTGCCACCACGCACAGCTTCCTTTTCACTTTGGGAATGTAGCAGAATTGAAAATGCCAGCAAGGAAAAAGGCATCTGAGGAACAGTTCATTAGATCCCCAAAAGATGTCAGGAGAGCTGATTCACAGAATCTGAAGTTAATTTTCCTTTTTCCCCTCTCCCCTCCCTGACGGCTCTGTGAAGTGTGTGAATCCAAGATTATGCTATTTCCCAGTCAGCTATGCTCCACACAGCTTCCGTCAGTGCTCCCGACTCTCCCGGACGGCATTTGCTGAGGGTGGTGGGATCCCCGGGTTGGGATCCTACCCTGCCCCGGGCAGCTTCCACTCTGCACCCGCCCAGCTCCCCCAGGCGCTCTGTCCTCCGCTCCCACCAGCCAGTGGTCTGTCCCCAGCACCTCCAAGCGCTCTGTGGATCCCATGGGCGCTCTGTCTCCAGCTCTCCAGGGCGCTTGGTCCCCAGCACCTCCGGGGGCTGTCTCCTCTGGGCTCTGAGGCCCTGGACGAAAGGAGCCGTAGGGTCAAGGTTGCACACGGCCCCTCCAGGCCGTCCCACCCTCGCAGGAAGGGCCGTCACTTCCGCTCGCCTCCCCAGGAGCGTCCAGCCCCAGGTTCTGCAGCGCCCCCCGCCCCCCAGCAGTCCCCAAGACCGAGCCCCAGGCCCGCTGCCCGGCAGCGCTAGGCCGTCTCGGTCCGCACGCAGCCACGTGTGCCCCGTCGAACGCCGCGGCCGCGTGCCCTCGAGGACCCAAGGCGTGGGGCTCGAGGCCGGGCGCGTCCTCCCGCTGCCTGCCGCGCTGGAGAGCAAACTCCCGCCCTCGGCCTCTCCCACCCGCGCCTACCCACCCCGGGAGCCAGAGCCCTCGACGCGCAGTGAGCTCCTCTGCCGCAGCGCTGGTCCCAAGCCGCGCGCCCCGCCCGACCACGCCCCAGCCCAGCACGCCACGCCCTCCTACCGCGCCCGTCACGACCGCACCCCCAGCCCACGCCCCGCCCCCGGCTCTTCCGGGTCCCCGCGGGCTCTGCGGGTGACGCTTTTTGGCAGTGGTCCCGCCAAGGTCGGGAGTTTGCGTCCTGAGCAACCAGGCGCCTGAAGCACCGAGCGCTGGCTCCGCAGGCTTCCGCTCCTGCCCCGTGGTCTCTGGCTCCACCTGACGCTCAGGTTTCCACTCATTCCCGGTCTTAGTTTACTCTTGGAAAAAAATGAGTAATTTACCTTTACTTAGGTTCTCAGTACCTAGCGTTCCATGTGTGGATCGCCCCGAAACAACAGAACATAATAAAATGTTCTCTCTTCAATTTTTCCCTTTTTTTTTTTTTTTTTTTTTTTGCTACCAGGGATCAAACTCTCGACCTTGCCAGCAGGCACTTTTGCCGCTGAGCTCCATGTTCCGATTTTTACCCTCTGAATTTTTCTAGGTAACATATAAATTTCATGCAAAAACTGAAAAAAAATTGCAGTCTTCAGCATGAATGGGTGAAAACAGACACAATCACTAGAAACTTTTGGGCTTACTTACAGCCCAAAAGGACTCTTTTTGTTTTTGTTTTCAGATTGGGTCTCACTATGCTGTTCTCTTTGGACTTGAAGTAATCTTAAACTCAGAGGATTTTCCTAGCCTCCCAAGCACTAGGATTACTATACCTGGCCATTAAAACTTGATTTCTGGACCAGGGCAGTGGCACAATGGTAAAACTGCTTTGCTGTAGCCTATGTAGCCTAAACAACACTATTTAGTTTTGAGCTGTGTGCTGATGCGGTGGGTAGATCAATTACGGATTCATATTTCTTCAGGATAAATTCTTTTTTTTTTTTTTGCCTTTTTTTTTCATTTTTACCGGTACCAGGGATCGAACTCACGACCGCCTGCTTACAAGGCAGGTGCTTATGCCGCCGAGCTAAATCCCCAGCCCCTGGATAAATTCTTGTCTTTGAAGAGTAGAGGTCCTAGTTGGGCATGGTGACGCACACCTGCGATCCCAGCACTTGGGAGCTAAGACAGGAGAATGGTTGGGAGTTCGAGACAGGCCTGGGCTACAAAGTGAACTCAAGGCCAGCCTGAACTGCATAGTAAAAAACAAGACAAAAAAAAAAAAAAACATATTTTGAAGGCCTTTTTGTTTTTCAAAAGGTTCCATGTGGTGTCCACTCCTGTGCATACTTTAGTGGTCAAGTTAGGACTTGGACAGAGCTTGTACTCAGGCTCTCAGGCTTAGCATCTTCATCCTTCTGTCACTGGACCTTCCATTGTGCTTGGGCTGTGGCCCAGGGTAAAGCGCGTGGCTCTCTCATGAGCAAGGCTAGGCTTCAGGCAGGGCACCAAAATACAAGGGATCTCCTGTTGCTTGGTGCTATCAACCCTTCCGATTTTTAAAAAAATTCTTTTATTTTTTGTTTTGTTTTGCTTTGCTTTGGTTTTTTGAGACAGGGTCTCACGGCTCTAGCTGGCCTTGATCTCACTATGTAGCCCAAACTGACCTCAAACTTTTTGCAATCCTTCTGCTTCAGCTTCCCAAGTGCTGGGATTACAGACATTGGCCACCACACCTGGACCACCTTGCCTTCTCCCTGCCTTCCTTTACTCTTTCCTCCCTCCTCCCTCACTGCTTCCCTCCCCTCCTGTTCCTCTTCTACCTCCTCCCGCTTTTCTCTTTTCCTTTTCCTTTTTCTCTTTTCTCCTCTCCTCTCCTGTCCTCTCCTCTCCTCTCGTCTCCCCTCCCTCTTTCTCCCTTTCAGATTGAACTCAGGCCCTTAAGCTCACTGGGCAAGCTCTCCAGCACTGCACTACATTCCCTAGCCCTTTTTATGTATTCATTTACTTTTCTATGGGGAAATTGAACCCAAGACCTTAGCACTGAGCTTTGTTGTCAGTCCTTTTTATTTTTATCTTTATTTTTGATCCAGGACATCTCTAAATTGCTAAATTTGCCCAGCGGGACTCAAACTTGCAAGCCTCCTGCCTCCTTTCCCCAGATACAGGCAGGCACCACCACACCCGGCCTTATCTTCCAGTGCCACCACTAGGCTCCTAAAACCCTAGCAATTTTCCGAACAATAAGGGTACTAGAAGAATCTTTTTGACTTAATAGTTGGTCTTTGATCTCAATTTCTGGCAGAATTCCTAAGATCTTTGTAATTTCCTAAGTGACAGAAACATCTGACATGGAGCTCTTACAGCCTGTGGAATTCCTGGAGAGACAGGAATACTTTTTTTCTTAGGAGGTGACTCATGGATGTGGATTGTTACCAGGATGACCAAGCCATGATGAATGGCTTAGAACTTTTAATCCTAGCCAGGCATTGTGGTGTTCACCTGTAATCTCTCGGGAGGCTGAGGCAGGAGGGTTGCCATAAGTTCAAAGCCAGTTTGGACTACATAGTGAGTTCAAGGCCAGTCTGAGTGAGACACTTTCACAAAAAACAAACTTTAATCTTGTCTTACATTCTCTGAAAAGGGAAATACTGATCATGACTATGTGATGTAGCTCCATTAAAAAAAATCTCTAAATTATGAAGGTCAGCAGCTCTTGGCATGGCAAACAACAACATATTCATGGAGCTGGGCCTGGTGGTACACGCCCACCTCCCAGCACTCTCTGAGGCTGAGACAGGTAAATCGCAAGTTCAAATCCAGCCTTGGTGACTTAGTGACCTAGGAGACTATGTCTCAAAGTTTTAAAAAAGAGTTGAGGATATAATTCAGTGTGAAGGCCCTGGGTTCAATCCCCAGTACAAGAAAAAAAGAAAAGTCCTGGTGGACAGTCAAAGGTAAGTAAAGGTCCAGCAAACAGCTGAACCAAGAAAAGGGTTTGTGGCAACTTGGATTCCTATCGATGGACAAGAAGCTCAGGTGGGCAACCTGGAACTAATACCTGGGCCGAAGCAGGGCAGGTGTGTGGGACTGCCCTTCCTCTGGGCACCTGCCCCATCCCACAGTGTCCAGCTCAGTGCTGGGGAGGGCGCCGGCTGTCATCCCCAGAAGAGTGAGGTCACCCTGAGCATGGCTGTCACACTGCAGTGTGTGGCCCTAGAGCTGGAGGGGGCCAGCTGCTGTGGATGACAAATCCTGGCTCGCTAAAGCCCTGGCCCGGGGTTGGCCAGAATCTGGAAGAGTGAGGAACATCTCTAAATCAGCCCTTCTACACCAGAGACAGCAAGGGTGGCCTGTGGGGGTGTGGGGGTGCAGAAAGAATAGGGTGTATACATGTACCCTCCCACGATGAACAAGCTCATTAGGTACTGCAACTGCAGTAAATCTAAAATTTAGGTGAAAAAAGATAATCGTCCCTCCTGTCATCTTTTGTCCCTTTTCTCGGTTAAAATGATGTCATCCTCTTAAGTACAGAAAGTAGCCCCAAATCTAAGTGTAGTTGATCAAGTATTAAACCAGTCCTGGCTCAGGGTGGGGAGGAACCCAGCATGAGGGAGGGCACTGGGTGTGATTCCCACCCCTGCAAAAAACAAAAACCGTTTTTTATTATTTATTTTGTGCACCACCACACCCAATTTAAAAAACAATTTTTAAAGCATGCCAAAAAAATAAGTCAAACATGCCAAGTTTGTTTTTTTTTTGAGACAGGGTCTCGTTTCGTAGTCCAGGCTGGCCTAGAACTCATGGTGATCCTCCTACCTCAGCCTCCTGAACGCTAGGATTACAGGTGTGTTTTACCACCCCAGTCAAAAGTGCCATGTTTTAAACAAGAAACAACAAAACCCAAACCAAAGGCCTCTCCAGCTGCTGCTCGGCTCCTGCTCCTCATCCTTGCGGCCACACGGGGGTGCCACCGCCCCGCCGTCGGGTTCTGACCCGGGAGGGACGCGGCTGGATCTGACCCGAGAGATCCTGGTCTGGTGGGCGTGGTGGGTGGGGGCGGCTCAGGAGTTTGGTTTGCTTTTGTTTGTTCTGGGGATTGAATCCCAGCCTCGCGCGTGCTCGGCAAGCGCTGCACCTCTGAGCTACCTCTCCGCACCGGAATTTGGTTTTGAGACAGGGTTTCGGGAAGCGTTCCAACCCGTCAGCCTCCTGCCTCGCCCTCGCACAGAGCTGGGGTGAGCGGCCTGCCCCCCACACCTCCTGCAAAGCGGTCATCGCACAGCCCGGCGGGGCCGGGGCCTCCGCGGCACAGAGGCGCACAGGGCGCGGGGTGACCGGGGCTGCGCACTGCGCGGAGAGGCACCTTCCAGACTTTCGGATGAAGCCTTCCGACCACAGGGTACTTACCAGTGCTCACCGCGTGTCGCACGACGTGCATGCCCTGTGGACAGCGATGCTCTCGCCGCAGCTGTGCCGGCCTTGTGTTTTCCTAGGCACCCTGCGCGGGGCTGCGGCCGAGGGCGACACCCCCACCCCCACACCCCTACCCCAGCAGCACCCACTGCAGGCCCAGCCCGCTAGCTCCAGGCCGTTTCTGGTCCCTTTCCACCCCCATCTGCAGAGGGCGCTGTTTCTCTCCCCTCGCTCCTCCTCTCTCCTTTCCCATTGTGTATGTGTGTGCGCATGTGCCTGTGGTACTGGGAACTCAACCCACGGCTTAATGCACTGAGCTGCATCCTCAGCACCTTCCCCATTTTTATTATGGCTTTTTAATTAAATTTAGGGATACATTTTAGATATGCAAAAGATTGCATTCATCATAAGGAATTTGTTACTTGTATATGATGTAACTTCATTTTCCCCTATTTCCCTACCCTCCCTTCAACTCCTCTACCCCTTATTTACAAATGCTTTGTTTCCATTTTCTTCATTTCCCCCCTCCCTCCCTACTTATTTTTTGCCTATTTCACAATATCTATTACACATTTTGGTCCTTATTTACATTTTTGGTTTCTTACAACAAAGGAAAAATGCAGTATTTACACATGTGTGTCCGGCTTGTTTCTTTTAAGGGTATGGTCTCTAGGTGCATCCATCTAGCTAGAATGTCTCAAGCTTATCCTTCTTGACGGCAGAGTAATATTCCATTATAGTTTTTAAAACGCACATTTTGTTTATCCATTCATCAGTTGATGGGCATTTGGGCTGTTTCCAAGATTTAGCTATTACAAATTGCACCACTATTGCCCATATATCGCTGTGGTATGATCCTTTAATTCTTTCAGAAATATAACAGGTTCAAGTAGAATCTGTAATCCTAGTTTCATGAAGAATCTTCACACTGATTTCCATGGTGGTTGTACCAGTCTACACTCCCACCAACAGTGGAGAAGGGTTTCTTTTACCCCATAGGCCTGTCAGTATTTATTATTGGTTGATTTCTTAATAATAGCCATTCTATCTGGGGGAAGATGGAATGTGTATCATTTTAATTTGCATCTCTCAAATGACCAGTGATGTTGAACATTTTTAATATTTTTTTGCCATTTCTGTATCTACATCTGAGATGTGTCTATTCATTTCAGATGACCATGTTTTTGTTTGTTTGTTTGTTTGGTCTTTTTCCTTTTTATCGGTACCGGGGATCGAACTCATGACTGCCTGCTTGTAAGGCAGGCACTTACGCCGCTGAGCTAAATCCCCAGCCCCAGATGACCATGTTTTGATTGGGTCTTTAATTTAGGGGACCTGTTTTTTTTGTTGTTTTTTTTTTATCGGTACCAGGGATCGAACTCACAACTGCCTGCTTGCAAGGCAGGTGCTTATGCCGCCTGAGCTAAATCCCCAGCTCCAGGACCTGATTTTTTGGAGTTCTTCATATAGGTTAGTAGTCCTTTGTCTAAGAAGCAGCTGGCAAAAACTATTTGCTATGCTCTGGGTTGTCTGTTTAATCTGTTGGTTTCTCCTGCTGTGCAAAAAATTTTTAATGAGACCCCAGTTGTTAATCCTTATGATGGTTCCTGTGCAGTTGGGGTTTTATTCATAAAGTCTTTGCCTACACCAATGTCTTTAAGAGTTCTACCTATTCTACCTTCCAGAAATTGTAGTTTTTCTGTTTTAATGTTTAGATCTTTGATTGATTTTGATACCTTTTTCATCTTTTTGAGATAGGGTCTCACTATGCAGTTCAGGCTGGCCTTAAACTCACTTTATAGCCTAGTCTGGTCTCAGACTTGCAGTGATCCTCCTACCTCAGCCTCCCAAGTGCTGGGATTACAGGCATGCACCCCACACCTGGCCATTTTTATTTTTTTTAGGGCATGGTGAAAGATATGGGTCTAGTTTAATCTTCAGCATGTGGAAAACCAGTTTTTCCAGCACCATTTATTAAAGAGGCTATTTTTCTTCCAGTGAAGATGTTGGCTACGTTGTCAAAGGTAAGGTGGCTCAGTGTGCCTGGAGTTGTTTCTGCATGTTCTAATCTGTCCCATTGATCCTTGGGTCTGTTTTTTGTTGTTTTTATTTTTGTTTTTGTATTTTGTCAGTACTATGCTGTGGTGTTTGTTGCTGTTGTTTTTTTTTTAATCACAGTAGCTATATAGTATAATTTTAAGTCCAGAAATGTAATGCCCCTGCCTTGCCTGTTACCTAGGATTGTCTTTGCTATTCTAGGTTTCTTCTGTTCCAAATAAATTTAGGATTGTTTTCTTTAATTCTGTGAGTTAGGCTGTTGGAATTTTGATAAGGATTGCATTAAATCTGTATAGGAATTTTTAAAGGAAGGCCATTTTCAATATATTTGTTCTTCCTACCCAAGAACAAGGTATATCTCTCTCTTTTGATACCTCTTCAATCTCCTTTTTCAGGATATTGTAGTTTTCAATGTAGACATCTTTTACTTGCTTCATTAGATTGAGTCCTAAGTATTTCAATTTTTTTTTTTCATTTTTTCTTTGGATGTTATTGTGAAGGATTTTTTCTCTCTCTCGGTGAGTTTGTTATTTGTGTACAGGAAGGCTGTTGACTTTTTATGTTGACTTTGTAACCAGCTATACTACTGAATTTGTTTACTAAATCTAGAAGTATTTTGGTGGGGTTTAATCAAGTTATCTGCATATCATGATAATGTAATTTCTTTCTTTTCTATCCTTATTCCTTTTCTTTTCCTTGTCCAACAGCTCTGGCTAATGTTTCCAGAACTATATTGAATAACAGCAGTGACAGTGGACATCCTTGTCTTGTTCTTGATTTGAGTGAAATCTTTCAGTTCTTGTCCAGTTACTATGATATTGGCTGTTGGTTTGTCACTGACGATTTTATCAGACCATCTATTTCCATTTTCTGTAGGAATTTATCACAAATGGGTACTGCATTTTGTCAAATGCTTTTTCTGGATCTATTGAGATGATCGTGTGATTTTTGTTCTTGGCTCTGTTTAAATGGTACATTATATTTATTGATTTGTATTATGTTAAACCATCCCTGGAATGAACCCAACCTGTCATGGTGTATAATGTATCTGATTGAGGATTTTTGCATCTACGTTCATTAGGCCAACTGACCTATAGTTCTATTCTTTAGTTGGGTCTCTGGTTTTGATATCAGGGTAATGCTTGCTTTCAGGTATGAATTTGGGAATATTGCTTCTCTTTCAATTTCGTTAAAGAGTTTGAGATTTTGAGTTTCAGCGGTGAACTGGTCGGATGGCCTTTTCTTTGTTGGTAGGTTTTTAATTATATTTTCAATGTCATTAACTGATATTGGTTTATTTAGAATTTTTGTATCTTCTTGATTCTATTTGGAAATTCATATATATCTAGGCATGTGTCCATTTCCTTGCATTTTCCACCTTATTCCAGTACAAGTTCTCAAGGTAGATACTGATGATTTTCTGGGTTTCTACATGATTGGATTTCTGTTGTTTTTGTTTTTTGCTGTTTTCAGGCAGGGTCTCAATATACAGTCCAGGCTAATCTCGAACTTGCAAGCCTCCTCCTGCCTCAGCTTTCTGAGTACTGGGATTGCAGGAATGTGCCACCAGGGTCAGCTAAGATTGGCTTTGATTTCACGTTTCTTACTTCTAATTGCATGGAGTCGAGTCTTTTTACTTTTTTTTTTTTTTTTTTGTCTTTTTCCTTTTTTATCGGTATCGGGGATCGAACTCATGACCACACACTTGCAAGACAGGGATTTATGCCGCTGAGCTAAATCCCCAGCCCCTTCTTTCCTTTTCTGATAAGGCTGATTAAGAGTCTGTTGATTTTATTTAATCTTTCAAAGAACGAACTCTTTGATTCATTGATTTTTTGTATTGTTTTCTTGGTCTCCATTTGTTGTAGTCAGAGGTTGTGCAGAGAACAATTAGAATCAGGACATGGATTTTACAATATTGTTTTATGGTGGTCACCAGAGTTAACACAAGAAACTGCAGGAAATCTATCCACAACACCATACACACAGAATATTTAATCAAGGGCCTAAATCCCACAGCAATGTCCCACATGAGTCCATGACAATGCCTCCCAAGAGTCCAATTGGAGATCCAGAGTCCATAAAAAGGACTCATGCCAGTCCTTTTACGGATCCGTGCTGGGAAGGCCCAAAGGTCGCAGTAGAAGCTGGGAACTCTATACCAGCAGGGTGAAGGAGCTGTGCTGGTAGGCTGAGGGTTCTACGATGAAGCCAAGAAGTCATACTCACAAAGACCAGGGCTGTCCTAAAAAGCACCACAGCCATCCTCAGTAACACGGAGGACCCGAGCTCCTCCCAGGACAAGCACAGTTGAGTACATGCCAGGAAGCCAGTGTAATGAGTTCATCCTGGAGACCAAGTGGCACACATCTTCCTTCCCCTCCAGAGCCAGGAAGCAATGTTCGATGTGAGGATCAGAGCTTCTCCAGAAGCTCAGACAGCAACACGTAGGAGAATGCCCAATGCCTCAACGCCTTAATGCAACAGCTTCTCCTCTATGTCTCTGTTTATGCTGGCAACTTTCCTCAGGTGGAACATCCACACTCAGCACCATGCTGTAATCCATGCTGGCATTAAGTTGGCCACCAGTTTTTAATCCGTAACACCATTGCATTGATGTCGGCTCTAATCTTTATAATTTCCTCCCTTGTACAAGATTTGGGCTTTACTTGCTCTTCTTAAAGTTTGGTTCAGCTCTGATATTTTTTTGTGAACTTGGTATGTCTATTTGTGACAGAGGGTTGAGTCTCCCATTACAATTGTATTAGTGCTTATTTGATTCTTCATGTCTATTAATATTTGTTTTATATAGTTGGGTGCACTGGAATTTGGTATATATTTGTGAATGTTATCTCTTCCTTTTGGATTGTTTCCTCTCCAAGAATGTAGTGACTTTCTTTATCTCTCTTAATCAATCTTGCCTTGAAATACACTTAATCTGCAAATAGGATACCTACACCTTTGGGTGGGGGTTGCTGTTGCTTGGAATATTGTTTTCCATCCTTTGACTTTCAGTCTATGAATTTCCTTTTGAATTAAATGTGATTCTTGTATGCAGCATCCTGCTTCTTGATTGATTCTGCCAATATGTTTCTTTTGATTGGTGAATTGAGACTACTAGTTTTGTAGGGTATAACAATCTTGGCTAGAGTTTGTTTTCTTTTAGGGCTTAAAATACTTCACTCCTAGCTCTCTTTGACTTGATGGTTTGCCTTGAGAAATTAAATTTCACTCTGATGGGCTTTCCTTTATAGATTATTTGTTTCTTTTCTCTAACAGCTTTATTATTCTATTCTGCTGAATTTATGGAACCTTGAGTATTATATACTTCACTGTAGATCTTTTTTATCATGGTTAATTGGAGTTCTACATGCCTCACTTATCTGAATGTCAAATTCTTTTTCCTTGTCAGGGAACTTTTCTGCCTGATGTCTGTGAATAGGTATTTTTTGTCTGTGTCATCTGTGCTATCTCCTGCTTTTTCATTGACTCCATGAATCTTATGTTATTCTTTGCATCATCTAGAAGCTGCTGGGTTGATTTGTCATGATCATTTTCTGTTTTTGAGAAAGCTTTCTTTTCATGATCACAATCACAATCCTGTCTTTTGAGATTCTGTCCTTACATTGGCTGATTCTGCTTCATATACTTGCAATGAAAGTTTTAGTCTCCTGGATATCTGTTTGAATGTTTCATGAATTCCTTTTCTTTCCTACATTGGGCATTCATTTTCCTAAACGCCTATATTTTTCAGTGTGTATCTGCTGTAGAGTTCCCAAGCATGTCTTTCATTATGGTCATCATCTTCGTAGTTATCTGAGAAATTACTTCTGATTTGATTTTTTTCATCTGCTTAGTCAGATGATAACCCTTGTTATCACCACTTCAGAGAGTCCAGGCAGGTAGCTTTTGGGTTGTTCTACCTCACTGCCCCGGGTTTTACCTTTGCTAAGTTGGAAGTCAGGGATTACATCTTGTTTAAGTGTCTTCTCATTTTGTATTTTTAAAGTTTAATTCCTGGCTTGATCCTTGTAAATTGCCTATGACACTAGCTTTATTGCTAGTATTTAGGACCCTTTAGAATGGACTACTTATCAGAGGTACCTTCCAAGTGTAGCTGGCCTTTAGGTTTTGAGTCTGTTGCAAGATCCTACCTCTTCAACTTACTGGGGATGAGAAGTTGTTGCCCAGTTGACCCAGCCCCTGGTCCTTTGGCACTGGCCAATAGTTTGTCCTATTTTTTAATGATTTACAGGCATTTTCAGCCTTGGTATACCAGAAAGATCAACTGTTTAGAATAGTTACGTCACTTTGGCTAAAGTAGTGCAATCAGCAATAACAACAGCATGAAACAGCCTAGAAAAGACAAACAGGGGAGAGTATTAGTTTGTCACCTTTAACCATATGAACTAGATTTATGTTTATACAACAAAATATAAAATCAACCAGAAAATTGTGTGCTGTAAATAGGTCTTCAATATGGCAATTTTACCCTCAGGTGAGAAAATTTAAAAGGGGTCCGGGAAAGAAGGAGACATTAAAAGCAAAGCTGGAGGACAAAGGAAGATCATGCAAATTTTGGGAAACTGATACAGAAAACAGAAGAGAAAGAAGAAAGAAATACAAACAGGAATACAACAACAACAACAAAAAAAACTAGAAAATGTGTTCATACTCATATAAAAAAAAGAAAAAACAAAAGCCAAGAAAAAAAGAGAAAAGAAGAAAAAAAACCCACTTCAAGGGATGTCTCTGCTGTCACTGATAGACAACAGGTACAAACGGAGTCCTGATCCAGCTGATTAACCCCAGCAAGCCAGCTGCATTTTCGATCCCTGAGACCCTGCATATCTAATTCCACTGAAGCTCAGGCTGGTTTCTGGCATGAGGCTGGAAGCGGACCCTTTCAGTCTGCAGCAGTTCACACACCTCCTGCGGGCTGGAGCTGGGCTCCCTGACCTCCTGCTGACTGGGCCCCCAACCCTGAGACTGGGAGCTCAAGATGGAGCTGGCAGTTGCTCTGGTCCCAAGTTCAGCTGGCCCCTCTCCAAGATGGCTCCTGGCCAATCCCCTCTCCTGGGGGACATCTGAACCTGAAAGTCGCACCAGCCACTGCAGCCCACTGCTCTGTTCCACTGGTGTACTTCTCCATGGAGGCCTCTAGGGTTGCCAGTAGTCACGGTGTGACTGTCCCTCCCACAAAGTGAGTCCTGGCTCAGGGAAAGCTCCTCCTTCCACCTTCTCCGCTGACTTTTCTCCCCTCACTTTCCCCGTGGGCCTCAGTTCTTGCTTCAGGTCACTTCCCTCCTTTTTCTTTCCTTCATGTTGCTATATCCCAGTGTCTCAACACCAAATACTAAGAAGCCTCTTTCTCTACTGTTCACCCCGCCACCATCTTCCCGGAAGTCCCTTTTTTGGTTTTTAGAGACAGGGTCATGCTGTGTAGTCCAGGCTGGATTCTCTCATTCTCACTTCTCTTCTGAACAGCACACATATAGAGCTCCTTCTCTGTTTTTCAGATTTCCTTATCATCTTTAGTAAATTAGCTCTTTTTCTCTTGCATGCTCCCAAGGCAGTCATTTTGTAATTTTCATTGGCCTGATGTTTACATTATTGTGCCCATACAAATGCCACTACTACTGGGTGTTTAGTAAGCTTAAATACTCTTTTACTGAGTTTCCTGGACTTAATAAATGTCCCTTTCCTTCCTCTCCTTAACACTCTTGACTGCATGCAGGTACCCCTTCCCCAACAATTCACACCTTGAAATGTGACTCCCAGTGTCATGGTATTTGAAGTGGGGATTTTAGGGGGTGAGAAGGCCATGAGGATGGAGCTCTTCTGTGATGGAGACCACTATGAAGTGGCTCTGAGCAGGATTTAAAATTAACCAATTAGCTTTGTAAGTTTACATGTTAGTCTGTCAAAGGCCTGGACCCCCTGTCTAGAGATGGGCAGTGGACTCATAGTAAGTGAAACCCTATGGGTCACTGGTCCTGGCTTAGTCCTGTAGTGGCCTGTGATGCCATGACGGCTCAAAGGACAGGATAAGGCCACAGCTGAGCACCCCTGACACTCACCCCAGTTAACTAAAGACTGTAGCTGCAGGCCGTTACTTCTGTAGTGAAAGTCAACCTGGAGACTTTCTCCCAAGATACTTCCCTTAAATTAACATATGATACTTCTAAATTAACACAAGACACTTTCCCTAAATTAACACCGTCTGTTACTTGAAGAACTCCTTGAGCCACTCCCAAAGTTGCCCTGTTTCCCACATTTTCTACTCTAACCTCTTCTCTTGTTTGAAAACCAAACCAACGTGGGCCACCCAGGAAGTTCTTTGTCTTATCCCCTAGAGAATCTCAAATTTTGCTAGAGGGTTTTGATCCTCCTGGAGCCCTACAATCATACCACTTGTCTCTTTTATTTAAGTCTTCCCCATCCACTCATTTGGGAGGTTGTGGACCTAATCAGCCTGAGATACTTACTGAGGTGGGTTCATGAACAACAATATAGGAATCCAAGCAGCCACACTGATCAATTTGGAATTTAATTAACTGAGCTCAGAACCCCTGGTATACAGACACCATTCCCCTTCAGGGTCCAAACAAATAGCCCTGAACTGGAAAGTTACAAAGTTTTTAAAAGACAGAATCAAAAAAGACATCTTGTAGGAAACAATTTAACTCCAATCTTTCATTGTTGTATCCTGTATCCTGCTCCTTTTGTTCAGCAGGTTAATTTTCCTCCTGTAGCTACAGCTCATTCTGCTTTTCTCATGGGACTTATACCCTGAGTAATTTTCCGTTTTCCTGACTGAATGCAGGGCACTAGATAATGCAGGGCTTAAAATGTTTTCAGTTATGCCAAGCTACAACACTTACGAATAAGATCAGTGGTTTTACAAAAGACAACCCAGAGATTCCTTACCCTTTTGCCATGTTGGGGACTCAGCAACAATGTTATAGGTAACTGAGTTATATAGAAATATTATAGGCAGACAGCAGGGCGGGGCCCTTGAAGGAGTCAGTACAAAAGACCAGATACCTTGCCACCTTGGAGGAGATACCTATGCTGCTGACCAGATTTCAAGACAAAAGACAAAACAAATGCAGCCATACCCTAAGCACAAACTTCAAGGCTGATATTCTAAATAGGTATCACCTTGATCACCTTGAGGAAGCCAGAAGAAGCCACTAATCCAAAACCCCTTACAGGCACGTGACTTGCTTCCCTATTGGATCCACATCTAATCAATCTTACCTGAGTAATTACATTCATAGTCCTACCAGTTGACCATAGTTCTGTCCCACCTCATGTCCACCTGCCAAGTTCCCATTTTCTCCCACCATGGACCTGCCACATCTTGTGGTTTTGCTTTATAAAAGTCCCTAGAAAAGGCCGTCTTCGGCAACCCATTGGAACCTCTTCTGTCTCTCAGACAGAAGCTTTCTTTTTCTCAATAAATATATTCTGTTCTTAACCTCCATTGTTCCTAAAATTCATTCTTTGATTTTTGGAGAACACAAACTCATATGAGACATCGAGGAGATGTCTGCCCTAGTATAATCAGGGAGTATTATGGTGCTGGTCTAACATGGCAGAGGACCGAAGCAAAAACCACACTTACCCTGATGGCCATTTCTTCCTCCTTTCCCTTCATCCCTGATTACAACCTCCTCTTTCCTTTCCTGCATGTGTGAAGAGAATTCCAATCGGTTCCTCAAGCGTCATCAGTGCCCCCGAAAGCAGCTTCAGGGCAGTGGCCGCATAACCTTCCGCCCTCTGTACTTGGCAGAGGGGAAAGCCCAGCCTCTCGGGTGGTACACGCCTCTCCACATCCTCAGTCAAGGCGTTCTTTTTCCTTTTTGTTTCTCTATTGCGCCAGAAAGCCCTAAGAGCAAGCTGGGAGTTTCTTTCCCCTACATCAAAAGGACTGCCAAGACAGGCATCTATCAGTCAGAAAGTGGGTCCTCACCAGAAACTCAACTTGTTGGCACTTTAATTTTGGGCTTTTCAACACGCAAAAATCAATAACCTTCCTGTACACGAATAACAAAGTCACTGAGAGAGAAATCAGGGAAACATCTTTCACAGTAGCATTAAAAAAAAAAAAAAAACTGAAATACCTAGGAATCAGTCTAACAAGGGCCTGCAATCCCAGAACTTGGAAGGCTGAGGCAGGAGAAGGACAAGTTCAAGCCCAGCCTGGATTACGTGGTGACTTAGAAAAACCTTTTATAATCAAAATCAAAAACAGCTGGGGATATAGCTCTGTTCACAAGCGATGGGTGCAGTCTCTACTGTCACACACACAGGTATACATGCCAAGACCAAAATTCTAGACATCTAAAAGTGTCTTTAAATGACCTTAATACTTAATTTTTGGTTTGGTGTAGAATTCTGTGAAACTATTTTTTCTTAGAATTTGGAAGCATTGCCGCAATGTCTTCTGGCTTTTAAAACTGAAATCCTTAAGAGACAAACCCTTAAGCCTGTCAGCCTCTTTCCACACTTTCTCTGAAATTTCACTGTGATGTGTCTTGCTGTTACGTCTCGCTGTGTAGCCCAGGTTGGCCTGGAACTCACTTTGTAGTCTCGGGCTAGCCTGGAACTCACAGCAGTACTCCTACCTCTCCCTCAAGGGTGGTAGGTGTGCTTCACCATGCCTGGCCTCGTGTTGTCTTTCATTTTATTTTTTCTAATTTTTTGATGATTTCTTCATAATTGAAAGCAAGAGCAGAAATGAAAATCAAGTGCATTTCTATTGAGGTAGACAAGAAAGACATTAGAAATGTCAAATAATTCTCTCCTCATACTTTTTTAATTTTGGAAAAAATTATTTCCATAAAAATATTTTATTTTGTTACAAAACATCTTATTAACATTTAAAACAAATATTTCTAAAATCTTCAATTTTTACATATGATAGACAAAATTTTTATAAATTATAGACAAAATCTCCTTGAGATCCTAGTTGTTAACTTGTTCTGGGGAGAACCTGAGAGGTGGTAATGGAGAGCAGATAGCTAATGATTCTAAGGTTTTTAGTTTAGAGGTGATGTGTATAGATGTCATGACTCCAGATCTATACAATATAGACTGAATTCAGTAGAAAAATCTGTATGAATCAGTATGAAATAGTATATGAATTCAATGTACACAATGAGTTTAAAATGCTTACAAGAACTGGGTATGCTACTCAATACCTGTATTCTCAGCACTCTGGAAGGGTGATGGAGCAGAGCCTAAGTTCAAAAACAGCTTGGACAATTTAGCAAGACTCTGTCTCAATAAAAGGGGGGAGGCGAAGTTTGGTGTGAAGGTCCTGTTCCATCCCTAGTACCACACAGATGTGTACAAAAAGTACTTAGGGAACAATGACATGCAAATGCCCACTGCTTTGACTGGTTGATCACATAAGGTAAGTTGGTTTGCTAGCATACACATTCATTTAAAGCTGTCACCTACTGACTGTAGGCATCACCACATGTGCTGTTCTCAGAGTAAATGGATGATGATGGGTAAGTTATCAAATAGGAAAAATGGTAAAATTACTGTGGTGGTGACTTGAAGATAAAAAACACTTTGTATGAGGTAAATCAGGTGGGTAAGAATGAAATTTTGATGCATACACTGGACAAATTCCAGAACTAGCAAAAAAAAAAAAAGTTTCTGAATGTAACTGGAGCAAATTTGACCATTTCCACACAGAAGTCATCTCATCAACTTTTGAATCTGTTGAAGGGTCTGGGGAGACGCTGAAAAACACCCGAAGCTACACTGACACTAGCGTAAGATGTGCAGTGGCCCATCACAGCGGCGGACGCTGTGGAAGACAGGAACCCGAGCCTGGGACTGCGGCCTGGGGCACAGTAATTATATTTATCCAATGCCACAATGGCAGGCACTGGCCACATGTGGCAACTTCAGCTTATACTACCTCTTAATTAAATTTAAAATTCTGTTCCTCAGCTGCTTACTCAGGAAGCAGCAACCCTACTGAGGAACACAGATGCAGGGCACACACCATCACCACTCAGGCGCGACGTTCCTTAGCTGTCCAGCTTCCACTTCTTTCCACTTTTACTTGCCTACCTTCTCAACTTTCTGGTATAGAGGAAGAAAATACACTGGCTGAAAAATAGTAAAAGAACTTCTGCTTCATGACTAAAATTACCATCATTAAGTTCATAAATTTGCTTCCTTGTTTCAGTGGGTACTGGAGGCGAGTGTTTGGGAAGCTAAGTGTGCTTGATCTTCAGTGGATCCACACGAAGGAAAGGTCTTGCTTCGGTGGGTGGGAAAAAGTCATTGAACGTAGAGCTGGAAGAAGTGACCCCACTCCTCTCCCTTCCCTGACCGCTTTCCCATTTCTACCTGTTTGCCTAGGTGGGGTTAGGGTCCTGCCTTTGTACAGCATTCTGCATGTCCCTCTGGCATTTCTCAGGCCACATACTATCTACTTACAAAGTGATTTATACCATTAGCAGTAAACAGCTCAATGGCTGAGATATAACACAATGACTGGTACACAGAAAACTGTCAAATGAAGCACCTGCCTGACAAGCGCAAGAGCCTGATTTCAATCGTGGTACAAAAAAACAACTGTCCAATGAAGTTTCTCATACAAATAAATTATGTGATGCAAGTTAGATTTTTAGGGCCTGGCTAGGAATTCTCTGGTGAAAGTACAAAAGTAACTGCTAGTAAGTAGAACGACAGTAACATTATCAGGCTGACTTCAAAGGTCAGGAATGGGGATAATGTGAGAGGCAGACGATAAAAACTGCTTACCACTGCCCAAGTCAGGACTTCTCAACTGGGGAAACATTTATTAAACAACTTACACCCACCAATCCTTCACAAAAATCTTAACCCGCCCATTGGTTCTGTGAAGTATTATTTTCACTTTACAAATAGGGAAACCGAACAAAAAAGATAAAGAACTTGAATAAATGACAATTAAAAACAGCTAAGCTAGTTTTCAAATTCAGAACTATCTTATACTATATGTGATACAAATGGGAATATGCCTAAATCCTTAGCAGAGGTAGCTGGCAAAGAAAAATAAAAAAGATTCAGTTGACAGATATGATTTCATCACAAAAGCATTGAAACTTTACTAACATTTATTAATGTTTTATTTTCCTATTTGATGTTCCATAAAGGGGGTTAGAGCCAAGCATTTTCTTTCATGTGGGTTCAGAACTGCATCCTATTCCTTTTTAGTCTGACCCTTTTCCATAAAAACAGTCACCTGAACCCGATTTCTCCCGCAGGGCTGGAAAAGTGGATACACAGTAACTCTTTCCAACTCCCTGGCCTCCTCCCGAGCTCGCTCACACTTCAGGTGTGCAGGCAGCTGGCTCTGGCTTTTTCTCAGGATTCTTTCCTTGAGTCTTTGCTCTATAAGTTCTCTCCCTCGGGCCATACGTTCCTGGTGATCCTTAATTTGCATCTGTTCTCTCTCAATTGCCTGATTTCTTTGTGCTTTCTGGGTGCCCTGCTTTTCTGGCATAAGTTTTGGTAACGCATCACTGAGGGGTCGTGGTTGTTTAAATGTTCTGCCCTTAAATCCTCTGGCCTGGCCTGTTCGATGTATGTGCTTTTCTATCTGTTTCCTCTCTCTCTCAGGTACTACATAGTAATGCTTTTGTCCCTCTATGTTTTGGGCTGTTTCCTCCTCCATTTTCACCTTCATTTCATTGCCTGTGGCCTCTCTTTTCATTATGTCCAAGATTCTTTTGTTATAGTAGGACTCTGCTTTGGCAAGCCAGTAGTCAAGAGAACGAGCCTGCTCTCTGCAGAGTGTTTCATACTCCTCTCGATGCTTCTGAGTTAGCAAGTGTCTTGCTGCTGTTGTATGCAGGCCACCTAGATTCTGTGGAAGGGTTAGGATTTTATAATGTGATCATCTTTTTTCTTTGAACACATTTAACCAGGAGCCTATCCCTTCCTACTTTAGTGAAATAATTTTGAATCCTTTCATTTCCAAGGCAAGCCTAGGAGCTCTAGAAGTGTACCGTGCCCACCATGAATCAAAAAATGGTTTAAAAATATAATGTTGGGAGATTTCAAAATGATACTTTGTCTTGCAACTGTGAGAATGGCTGGGAAATATTAGCTAGTGTAGATATGCTACATGATGACATCACTTGGACAGAAGAATTTCAAACCTAAGGTTCATTCCGAGTAATCCCAAGCTATATGTCGTGAAAAGAACTTATTTACCAAGATTTTTTTCTCCAGTGGGGACTGCTGACCTATAGCAACCCTCGGGTCTTTCGATGTTTTAGCCCAGGCCAATCTGGAAGAACAAAAGTAAAGGTAGATTAGAATGGGGGAGGGGGTCAACACACCTGCTTACATATTGCCTGAGTCAAAGGATCCAAATACTTTGGTCAACACCAAGAGTATATCCCTTCCAATGTGAAAGCGTGCTTATAGGCAAGACGCTAAAGGTCATTTCTTCATGGGAGACTACTGCATTCCTATGATAAAGAACAGTGAATCCTCTCTTATATTAGAGGAGCACCTTTAATTCTTATGAACTAAAACACATACTTTTCCTGTGGATTCAGTGTAAACCATTCTGAATCTTGTATCGGGGGTTCGAAGAGGGAAGATACAGACTCCTTGATGAAGTATCGCCCAATTACATCTGTGTCATATTGTTCAGTCTGCTTGCCTCCTTGGTCTTCTCTGATAATCCTAGGTTCCAATTTTATCATTCTATTGTGTTTCTGCAATAGTTTCTTGAGTCGGGCTCTGTGAGACTCCATCAGCACATGTAGGTCTCAATCCCTGTTCTGAAATTTATTCTTATTTCTATTCTTATTTGATCAGCTTAGCTGCCTTATGTTGCCAGTCATCCTTCCCTCTAAATTTATGAGACCATTCTTGTTGAACCTCTCAGAATAGGAATTTGTGGTTACTCTAGATCAGGAAGGCTGAACCTATGGAACATGTGCTGAAGTGGCTGTTGGTATCACTGAAAGCTCTACAAGGTTCACCATCACTGCTCTAGGTTTATTTATAGGGCAGGCTGATGGAAACACAAATAAAGACTATTATCTTTTTATGTGCTGTACTCTAACCTGAGCTTACTGTGAGGTCATATTTAAGCCACTGGGCATTAGCAATAGATCTGAATTCCCCTCCCTCCTAAGTATATGACTCAAAAGTATCACTTAACATCTCCCTATGCCAGTTTCTTCATCTATAAAATAGAGATATAAGACAAAAGTATGCCTCTCAGGGACATAAAGAACAAAAATGAATTAGACATAAACAGATTAGCACACAGCTGGATATAGAGTAAGTTTTCAGTAAATGGCAGCTGTCTTTTACAAGTTAATAGTCTGTTTCTATAGTCTACCCAGTCTTGTCAGTGATTTTTGCCTTCCTCTACACACTTAACATTTCTATAATTTATTTGAAAATCAGTTATTGTTCACATTGTGATAGCTCTATTCATATATAACATGTTTTGATGTTGAAATTTAGCCTTGTAGCTTAGTGTGGCAGTGTATATTTGCAGTCCTAGCACTCAGGGGCTAAGCAGGTGGATTATCTCAAGTTAGAGACCAGCCTTAGTAACACTTTTTCAGTTGGGGGGAAAAAGGCTAGATTTGTGTATCCAAAAAAAAAAAAAAAAAAAAAAAGGTCAGCCTCTCAAAACTAATGAACAAAATGAAAGAAATTTAAGCTTTTAAAATGTAGGCATTAAAGATAATGTAGGAATTATAAATTTACACATATAATGACATCTGTATTTTTGGAGACAATCTGATATCTAATATTTGATCCCACTGACTTGAGCACATTTTTATTTTCCTACGTGTGCTTGAGACTATCTTCATTTCTTTGCACACAGCACCTAGTACAGTACTTAACATTAAAGTATGATCCCAAATTCTCAAAACTAATAATTTGGTTATCTTTATCACATAATATCTAAGCATCTTTTATTATGTTTACAGTAACATTGTATCTTTTATTAAAGCATTTACTATTCTTCTTTGAAGTTTATAGGCATTTGTTTGATACACCTGAGCGAGATGCTCACATTTTGTACCTATAAATGCATCTTCATTGTCTTCTAATTATTCTTCTGTGTTCTGTGAGTCAGAGAACATAGATGTCAAGTACTGAGCTTCTGTTGAAAAAGAGTCACACCTTATAATGCCTGTGTTTTATTACTGCTCTAGAATTTGATTCACGGTGAGTATTGGCTGCATGGCTGGCAAGCAAAGTTGGGGAGGAAGGAATGCTAATTTCAAAGTCCACTTTGAAAGGAGAAAAAATAAAAGATTGTGTACCATCATGGACTCAACAGATCACCCTTTGTGAGACAAACAAAATGGCACCAAGTTTTGCAATTAAGTCAAATTATGGGGCATGAAATAAGTGTTTTAATCCTTTCACTATGGTGGTCTCACATCAGTTTCTCCCAAGACCAGAGCTTGTGGCCTGCTGATGGCTACAATTCTTATATAAAGGAGTTTAGTATAGCTATCAGGTCCAATGGTTGTTGGAGGGTCAGGAGAGGACTAGGAAACTCATCTAGAAGCTGCCTCTTACAGAAAAGGTTTCTATTTACATTGTAGACTACATATGAATAAAAGTAGCACGATATCTAAAGATATTATCTTTCCGCATGTTGTATAAAAGACGGGGGCAGTTAACTGTCTACCGAATGAAAGGTTTAGAGCGGAAGGGCGGGAGGCAGGAAAGATGGAAGGTGATCCTCAACTGAGAGCCAAGCTCGACCTCAGGAAATTCCTCAGTCTTAGGAAATTTTACCTCAAGGACGTTTCTGACGCTAGCACCCTTGATCTGGCAAGAGCCTAAGGAAAGAGAAGCCCCAGCTCACTACCTCTAAGATCCTGATCTCTCTTGCAAAGTGGCCTCCTCCATCCCTGCTTCATCTCGTAGGGACTAAGAACTCCCCTTCGGCTTTCACTGTCACCACTCCAATCCTTAAGACTCTGGCTCACCACTTCCAGGAGCCCTGAACTGACCTGAGAAGCATGCGGAGCTCGCCCGCCTCTGTGGCAAGCCAGGGACACAAGCACAGCCACGGTGTCAGTTCCAAAACTCCGGGTTTGGTTTGTAAGGAGTAAGTAGCCACAAAAGAGATAAATCATCTCAGGAAGGAACGGATGTAGTCCCCAATCCGTCAGTCAGTATTCAATAGTCTGGTTTTCAGGACAAACAACGCCCCCCTTAGCTAGATCTCTGTAGGATGCGAGAGAAAATAAAAAGGGCTAGGGTTGGATTCGAATGGGAAAAGTAGCATGACGCCCAACACTGCTTACTTGTTTTTCTTATTTGAGGGCACAAGAACCTCACACAGCAACCTCCTTTTCGCCCTTCCCAAAGGCTCTGGACAAATGGTCGCGACGAATTATGACGTCATAAGCAAGCGGAGCGCAGGCGCCGTCGACGCTCTAGCACGCCGCGCGCTCGCTGCCCCGCGGTCCGCGCAAAGTAGGCGCTCTAGCTGGCGGCGTAGAGACTAGTTTGCGGCTACACCCCGCGCTGGCTGGGAATCCTGGGCTACTTGGTCTCAGAGGCTGGAGGCGCGCATGCGGGGACGCGGGGCGGGAGCGGCAGGCTTCTGAACTCTGTCTTTGGTTTGTAGACGTCTCGTTCTCTTCCAGCCTTGCCGTAGGTCCGACATGGAGCTCGCTAGCTCCGGCTCCAGCTTTCAGTCGGACCTGGATTTCTGTCCGGAGTGCGGCTCCGTCCTGCCCCTGCCCGGCGCCCAGGACACGCTCGCCTGCACTCGCTGCGGCTTCCCCGTCAACGTGAGGGGTGAGGGATCCTGGGGGTCGGAGCTGGCTGGAGGGGAAGGAGACGCGGAGCAGCACCGGGCGCTGGTGCCTTGGTTTAGGGAAGAAACCCAGGGGAGGGTGCGGGGCCTCCTGGCCGGATCGGGAGAGCGTGGCCTTCGGCTCCTCTGCCGACCTGTAACCGTTTTCACTGCCTGTGCAGACTTGGAAGGAAAGGTTGTGAAGACCTCAGTCATGTTCCACAAACTGGGAACAGCCTTTCCCGTGAGGGGGGAGGAAGGACATGAGTTCCAGGGACCCGTGGTAAGTTGGTGAAATCCGGCTCTATGAGGGAGGGGAGGACTTGGGAAGCAACCGCAGAGATCTGGAGTTTTGTAACCAATTCCTATAAGGAGGGGACGTTTAGGTCGAGGATGTCTGACAGGTGTTTTAGTCCGATTCCTGTAAAAACTGAACCTCCGTGAGCCACCTGTTTTTCCCTAGGTCGACAGGCGCTGCTCTCGATGCGGCCACGAGGGAATGACCTACCACACTCGACAGATGCGCTCTGCGGATGAGGGGCAGACTGTCTTCTACACTTGCACCAACTGCAAGTGGGTTCCTTCCCCACCTGCTCCCCTTCATGGTCCATTTGCTAATGGAAATCCAGTGATGAGTGTTTTGTACTGAACACTTGTTTGTCTTTCTCTCATCCCTAACAGGGAGATTTGTGGCTTGTTTGTTTATTCGGAGGCAAGGTTTTGTTCTGTTGTTCAGTCTGGTCTTGAACTCACTGTGTAGCTCAGGCTGGCCTCAGCCTCCAGAGTGCTGGACTGACAGGTGTGCCCCCACACCTGGCCCACTTCCTTTTTGGTACTGCTACTGGAGATTGAACCCAGGACCTCATATCTGCTCCATGCACTCTGCCATTAACCTGCACACCTGCCATTCTCCTTTATTTAATCTGTTTGAGATATGTTAGACTTTCTGAAGCTGAGAACTGATTTATTTTGCATAAACCTTGTTGGAAGGGGGTTGGTTGTTCTTTCTTTTTTTCCCCTGGTGCTGGGGACCGAAATCATGACCTCGTGCTTGCTAAGCAGGAACTTACATCACTGAGCTAAATCCTTGTCATAATTTTTTTTTTTTTTCTTTTTTGGTACTGGGGATCGAACTCATGACCTAGTGCTTTCCAGGCTGGTGCTTATGCTGCTAAGCTAAATCCCGGGCTGTTTGTTTGTTTGTTGGTACTGGGGATCAAACTCATGAAGTGGAGCTTGCCAAGCAGGCACTTACTCTGCTGAGCTAAATCCCTGGCCCTGATTTTGCATTAACCTTGGGAAATTATCTCATTTAATATTGCCTGTCCCCCATGTTCTCACTTCTCACCTTCTGAAGCTGTTATTAGACCTTTTCCCTAATCTTCCTATTCTGTCACTTGTGTTTCGTATTTTCGGTCTCATTTCTCTTCCTACTGCTTTTTGGGGAATTTCTCTAGATCATTTATTGTTACAGTTTACGTCAATTATTATTAGCATTTCACTTTTTATTTTTATTTATTTATTTTTGTCTTTTTCCTTTTTATTGGTACCAGGGATCAAACTCACGACTGCCTGCTTGCAAGGCAGGCACTTATGCTGCTGAGCTAAATCCCCAGCCCTAGCATTTCATTTTTTAAATCTCATTTTAAGTAGTTCTCAAATTCTTAATTTGTATTTATTTATTTATTTTGGTAATGGGGATTGAACTCACAACCTGTAGTGCTTGCCAGGTAGGCGCTGTGCCACTGAGCTATATCCGTGGCCCCTAAATCCTGAATTTTGAATTATTCCTTTAATTTTTAAATGTATATTAAGTAATTAACATATTTACATTCTATATCCGTAATTTTGATCTAGTTTTTGTGGGTTTGATGGTTCTGTCTGGCATTTCTGCTGATATTCTGATGGTGCTTTTATCTGTTTTGTGATTTTGTGTGTTTTGTTTTTTAAGCTTGAAGCACTAATAGGCTGGAATCACTTTAAATTTTGGCTTTTCCTTTTTTATTTATTTATTTTTTAAGCAGACAAACCCGAGTGCACAGTTAGAAATTCTCAGGAAGCCAGGCATAGTGGTGCACACCTGTAGCCTGGGCTACAGAGTGAGTTCAAGGCCCACCTGGACTACTTAGTGTGACTGTCTCAAAGAATTTTTTAAAAAGGGAATTCTCAGGGAATCCTCTCCCTCTTCCTCCTGGGACAGTCAAATTCCCTGCTATAGAGTTGTTTTTTTTTTTTTTTTTTTTTTTTGTCTTTTTCCTTTTTATGAGTACCGGGGATCAAACTCACAACTACCTGCTCGCAAGGTAGGCACTTATGCCACTGAGCTAAATCCCAAGCCCCTTAGAGTTGGGTTTTTTTGTTCAGTTTTACACAGAAGAGTAGGCTCTGGGTGAATGGTCCCAGCAGATCATCTGTCAGCCGTTGCAGTGACTGTCTTTGCTTCATGTCGCCTGTGGCTGTCAAAATAGCATTAAAGTGGGGCTGGGGATTTAGCTCAGCGGCATAAGCCCCTGCCTTGCAAGCAGGCAGTCGTGAGTTCGATCCCTGGTACCAATACAAAACAAAAAAGACAAAAAAAAAAAAAAAAGCATTAAAGTGCACTGTGGAAGTAGATGGTGTTTTTTTTGTTTTGTTTTGTTTTTTTTGTTTTTTTTTTTTGTGCCGGAGATCGAACTGGCAACCTAGTACTTGCCAGGCAGGCGCTTATGCCACTGAGCTAAATCCCCAGTGGATGGTTCATTTTTAACTTACCTGTCTGGGTTTACATCATTTTTAACCAGCATGAAGGCTACCTTTTCTTTCTTGCCATTCTATCAATAAATTAAAAATATTTATACTGAAATTACTTTTCAAGAATATATTTCTGCTGGGTGTGGTGGCGTATGCCTTTAATCCCAGTACTCTGGAGGCTGAGGCAGGAAGATCTCTGAAAGTTCAAGGCCAGCTTAGGATACATAGGGAGACCCTGTCTAAAAAAATAAAACAAACAACCCCAGAAACTCACACAAGCAAACACACAGAATAAATATTTTCTTCAGATTTGCCTGTTTTCCTTAAATTTCTTGTGAACAGAAGTTTATTTGGTTGGGGGAGGCTGTTGTGCTAGGAATTGAACCCAGGGCTCTGGGCATGCTAAAGATACTACTTACCAAAAGCTAAACCCAAACCCGAAGTATTTTTATAAGGTGTAGTTTATACTTTTTGTTTTTTTAAGTCAAGGTATGGCTATAATAGTCCAGGCTGGCCACAGTCTGCCTTCCTCAGCCTCCTGGTGTTAGGGTTATAGACATGTGCCACCATGCTTGGTGCCAGCTTATACCTGTTAAAAAATTTCATGGCTAGCCAGGCATAATGCTGCATATGTGTAATCCCAGCACTCAAGTGGCTGAGGCAGAAGGATCACTGCAAGTTGTAAGCCTGGCCTAGAGTAAACAATGAGACCCTGTCTCAAAACAAACAAAAAAATAGCTGTTGCTCTTTGTGTCCTAAGAAATCTTTGCGTACTTCAAAAATAATCAGATACATTATTAACCCCAGCATGCTTAGCTGTTTTAAAATTAGAGATGAATTATTTAGAGGAGCTAGTACTCAGCAGTGTCTATTAAGAAATAAATTCTTAATTTTTCTGCCTTATAGTGCTAGAAACTCTTCCTTTGGGTTGAGTATAACAAGTTGTTTCTTTTTGTCTAGGTTTCAGGAAAAGGAAGACTCTTGATTTTTTTTTTTTTTTTTTTTTTTTCTGAATGACTCTGTCTCTGCTCTTCTCTGGATGAGGAAGCATAGTGGATCTTAGATGCCTTGTTACCATGCTGTCTGGTTGCAGCAGTTTTGCTGTCAGAGGAGAAGCAGATCATAATGTGGCAACTACCCTTATTCCAGGGTCCTCCAACCCCAGTTGGGGTCATTAAAGTTACGTTTTTCTATAAAATCGTACCTGTAATGTTATTTATAACGTCTTATTCCAAGAAGAATGTGAACACATTTACAGAGCTGTATAAGGAATTTTAAAGCTGAGTGTGGTGGTGGCACACCTTGAATCCCTGTGGTCGGGAGGATCATGGGGGATTCAAGGCCAGCATGAGTTATACAATGTGACTCTCTGTAAAACAAAACAAAACATGACAAGAATGAGGCTAATCTATAATTAACTTCCTGTCTCCATCTGTTTGGTTCCTCAGTGTACAGAAATGAACACTAGAAGTTTGGCTATTGAGAGACTCAACATGAAATTTAACAAGATTTATTTGATATATAAATTTGAACAAGAAAAGATAAGTACTTATAAGTAGACATTTTGGAAACTTTTATTGCTAAAATATCTAGTCACTTTAATAGATTTTTACATAGGAAGGAGAAAAATCACAAGGCATCCCACTCCACAGAGAACCAAATTTCATCTCTGCTTGTGCAGGTATCTGTGCACATAACATTAATTTTCAAATGTGCTATTAAGTGGGCTATACCATACAAGATTTGACATTTTTGTGTGAGCCAAAAACCTTAAAAGGTCTACATGCATAGTCCAGCCATAATACAAGATATTCAATACTGGGAATCAGTATTCCTGCATTCTTGGCTTGAGTGGTGAACACATGAGAAATGACAGTGGTTATTTTGTAGCTGTGTGGTACTTGATACATGTAGAGCTTCACTGATGTACTCCTACATCTCAGAGAATACTTTGGCAGTATATGACAATTTAATGACACGAATCAATTTACTTCTGTTTGTTTCGTGGAACTGGGAAATGAACCTAGGGCCTAACACAGTCTAGGCAAGAACTCATCACCGAGCATGTTGAGACGTGGAGTTTTTTTGTACCGGAAATTATACTCTGGACATTGCGCTAGCCAGGCAGATGGTCGTGCTGCTAAGCTATATCCCCGGCCCTCGATGAGTTTTCTAGACAGGCCTCAGACTTCAGGATGCTCCTGCCTCAGACTGCTGCGCAGGTGAGGGCCTAAGTGTCTTCTGCACTTCCATCCTAAAGGCCTAGCGCAGTGACCGGGAAACCCCAAGCTGAAGGTGCACTGCTGCCCTGCTGTAATACCAACAGGCACGGACCAGACGCTAGCTTGCCTGATTCTTAAGTATGTTTTCAACTGTCCGAAGTGCCGCTTCACATTAAAGAGAAGTGATGGAACGATAAGGAAATGGCAAGTGGGAACACAATGTCACCAGTAGCCCCTGGGTCACCCACCACCTCTCACCAGCTTTAAGGGCCGAGCTGGCTGGGGCTCCACCTGAGCCGTCTTACTGTGGGCCCCGCCCCACCCTACCCTCAACACACCTCCCCAGGTTTCTAATCCATCCCACCGTGCGGACTCTGCGCTTAACTCCGTAGCATTTAGGGACCCTGCAGGGCCGCTCCTTCCGCTCCATGCGTCGCCTGCGCGTTGACGTCTTACGGCGGATAACGTTGCGTCGCCTGCCCTCTGACGCAAAGGGTGCTGGGGAAGGGAACTGGGGACTGCAGAATGCGTCACACCCGGAAGTGGAGAGCCGGAAGTGGGGTTGGACAGGTTATCCCCTGGGGTGGGGAGGCAAAGGCCCTGGAGGAGGGGGTGAAAAAAAGGCGGAGGAGCCTGTCCACTACTCTGAATCGGATACTGATTCTTTTAGAACTCAAGAGACACAGAAAAAGGGAAGAGTGTCTCACCCCCTTCCTCCTTTCTTCCCTTTCCTAAGCCTCAGCCATGGCCGAAGCAGGGGCCGGGCTGAGTGAGACCGTCACTGAGACAACGGTTACCGTGACAACCGAACCCGTGAGAAAGGCGTGGGGGGGCGGTGCTGTCCGGGGGTCTGAGAGATGCCAGAAGAGGGCACAGGGCTTTGGGAAGTTGCTGGAAGGGCTGGGCTTAGGAATTGGGCGCTTAGAGGTTGAATATCTAAGGCTGGGGGAATCGCAAAGCGTGGGGAATATTTGGAGTTGCGGGAGGCTGGAAAGGGACTTGTGATAGGGAGTTAGGATGTAGCTGTTGCTGCTTGGCGTGGTGGTCAGAGGAACAAAATTGGAGAATAAGGAACGAGAAAGGTGCTGAAAGGAAATGAAAGGCTACGTAAGAAAGCATGGTTGGCGGCCAGCTGTAGGGGGCTTTGATCGGAAGCGGACTTAGCATTATTCAGTGAATGAGAGTTAACAGGAAGTGAACAGAATGAAAAAAGACGAAACATGACGATGGTATTTTGACAAATCAGGGAGGGACCATATGTATTTTTCTTTTTATTGCAAAACATTCTTTTTATTTTTAAAGGGAGACAGTTGCATGAGGTTTAGTAGTCGTGGTCTAAAAACGATTTAGTAGTTCAGTGATAACTGCTACCAGACATGCCAAGATGCTGGGATGCTAGTAATAGGCGGAGAAGGAAAGGACAGCTAGGCTTCAGGATGAGAGAGGTAGGAATGCAGGTCTTTCTTTAATGGGAAGAAAAGTAGGGAGTCCAGTAAAAGAAAGGGAGATCAATGATTATTTTGTGGAGGCTGAGGAAAATATTTTTCATGCGTTAATACCACCAAAGATACTGTGGGAAGATGGAGAAACAGTAAGGATTATATTTATTTTCTGGGCCTTCCCTAGGTTAAGAGTTGTCTTCTCTGTACACTAGCGATTACCAAAACCAGGAAAAAATATTTCTCTGGGATTCCCTGAAATCGAAGACTGTGCTATTTTATCTCCAGTACTGTGCTCTGGTACTTTTATCTGTAGTACTGATTGAGCCAAGCAAGAGAAGAGAGGCAGTCCCCCGGGAGTGATGGGAAAGGCTGGCAGGAGGAGCTGGGTCGATATGCCCATAGCTCTTACCCTTCTAGGAGAACCGGAGTCTCACCATCAAACTTCGGAAGCGGAAGCCAGAGAAGAAGGTGGAGTGGACGAGTGACACTGTGGACAATGAGCACATGGGGCGTCGCTCGTCAAAGTGTGAGTCATTGTGAACCCCCGGTCACCTCACACATCCCCTAACTCACAGTTCTGTCACTCTTCTTAGTGGTTCTCAGGGACGAGTGGTTAAAGTTAAGAGAAAGAGGCGGAGCCTTCCAGAACTATAATATACCAAGGCCTGAGGGCAAGAAGTCCAGGGTGGGAGAAGTGGGACTTCAGATTCTTGGCTCCCTAAAGGGATGGGAGTGGGTGTGGGGTTGGGGGAGGTAGGTGCCTGAGTGCTGTGTGTGACCAGAGAAGCTGAGTCCTGTGAAGTAACAGGCCACAGCAGTGCAAATGGGGATTTTCAGAGATCCCAGAGGAATGGAACAGAATGAACACTTACTCTTTATTTTTAACTGGGCTTCTCTGTCCTAATCTAGGCTGCTGTATTTATGAGAAACCTCGGGCCTTTGGTGAGAGTTCCACCGAGAGTGAGGAGGAGGAAGAGGAAGGCTGTGGTCACACACACTGTGTGCGGGGCCACCGCAAAGGACGGCGTCAGGCAACCCCAGGACCGACCCCCACCACGCCTCCCCAGCCTCCTGATCCCACCCAGCCCCCGCCGGGGCCAATGCAGCACTAAATTCGTCTCTTCCCCACCATTCCTGTGTCTGTCTGGCCCTGAATGTATCCATGTGGCTACCTGGGGACTGAACCTGTGGCTTGACCCCTTCTCCAGTCCTTCTTTTCCCTCTCCTCTGCCTGACAGATGAAAGAGGAAGAGGAGAATGGACAGAGATCCATGCCTGGAATTCTGACTTGCTGCTACTCCAGAACCCAGACCCCTGGGTTCCCCAGCCCTCACGTCTCCCAGTTCTCACCCTGCCGGGGATCTAGGCATCTTGGTCCCAGTCTCTTCCCATCGTTCTCACTGCCAAATTGCCTGTCCTGGGATCCAGTTATGTATCTTGGTCCCCTGCACGCTCAATACGAGTCCCAAACACTTAAATTCAACAGTCTCAGCTTTCACTGCCAGGGTCCTAGTCAGATTCCAGACAATCTCATCTCAGCTATGCTTGTTAATCCTGGCTTAGAGCTCATCCATGTATGCATTTATATAATCTTGATTCTCAGTCCTTGCCTGTGAGATACGAGGTCTTCAGGAAGAGCATGGCCCTGCCCATCTCCTTCTACTTCCCACCCCCTTAGGTGTAGAAGGAACCAGGAGAGAGAGGTCTTTGTCACCGTTTACCACTAATGAAAAGTGGAACAAGAAATAGCTGTCCTTTCTCCTTACACTAATTTGATACATATTTCTGACAAAGCTGGCTTGAGAATGGTCACTTAGAACCAAGAATGTTTCCAGTCGTTGAGCTTTCAGCTTCAGAAACATAAAAGTCCACAGTGGGGGCAGAAAAAGAAGAAATGGGAGTGAACAAGAAGGTGGGGGTGTGCCTCCTCCAGGCACTTCCTCGGTCTGTATGGTCTACCCGCCAGAGGTCTGTCATCTCTCTTCCGGCCCCTTACTGGGATCTGGTTATTTTCTAGGCTTTTTGCAGAGATCAGTCAAATCCATGACACCACTGAGGTCTCGTTTATTGCCACAGATACACAAAATAAATAACCCAACCTCACAAAATGTGTTAAATACAGGCCCATTTATACATATGGGGAAAGATGGGAGACTATGTACAAGGGGACACGTTTGCGATGCGTGGGTCACTGCCAGCTTGAGCAGGAAGCAGCACGAGAGGTTGCTTCCAGGGGGAAGTCCTAGGAGCATCTTCAGCAGAGGAGCAGCCACAAAAGGAAGGTGGACCAGAACCAGCTTGCACTCTCCCGCCCCTAAAAGATTTTAAGCTTCGTGGGTCTGTAACTTGTAGGCCAGAATCGAGCTCTTGCTTCTCTTGAGCAAAGGTGGCCAGTGGTCAGGACTAGGAAGCCTGTGAAGCTACAAGTGGCAGGACCTCAGTCCACAGCACGAGCCCTAAGTCAGCTCTGTAATAGCACAGGAAGTGTCAGTGTAGCTGCGGGGTGGAAAGTCCCGGAGGGAAGTTCGGGCATGGCGTTGGACCTGGAAGACTGCACCCAGAGGCCAGCTGAGGGCCCTTTGTTGGTAGCGTTAGGGGCATACTTAACACCCTGCCAGGGCGTATGGATTCAGCCCCAGAAAGAGCCTGTTTGCTTCCCCCAGAGGAAACAGCCTGGGGTCCGCCTAGTGGGAAGGAGTAGGGCTGGGGCTTAGCCCTCTCCTGGCACGAGGCGCAGTGGGGTGCAGGGGTCGCAGGTGCAGAGCAGCGGGAAGACGCACTGTCCCAGGGGCCCGGGCGCCTGGAAGGCGAAGAGCAGGTCCAGTGAGCGGCCATCATAGAAGGCCACGCGGCCGCGCTCGCAATCCAGATCTACGCGGATGCGGCGTGGCACAGGCCCGGCGCCGCCCTGCAGCAGGGTGGGCTCCGGGGCCGTGAGTGCCCAGAGGCGGCCCCCGCGGCTCTCCAGCGCCCAGACAGCCTTGTCTGGGCACAGCGGGATGCGGCCCTTGCGCGGCACAGAGTCCCCGGCTGCGCCCACAACATAGCGGCCGTTCGAGTCCGAGTCCTTGTCCTCGGCCGTGGAGTTCCTGCTGCAGGCAGCCTCCTCCTCTGCTGTCTCCACTTCCCAGCAGTGGCGCCCGGCACCGAAGCCCTGAGCGCCCAGCACCGCCGGGAGCTGATCAAAGCGCGCGGGACCATCCGGGGGTGCAGGTGTCCCGGGTGGGGCCAGACAGACGCCGCGGCGGTCAGCGGAGACGAGCAGACGGCGATGCGCGGTGCCTGGGTCCAGCGTCAGGTCAGCTGGGGAAGCAGGGAGAAGACCGTGAAGTAGGTGAGGGACGTTGGAGACACCGCCGGAGCTCCGAACCGAAACTCGGGGCCCTAACTGGACTGGGGAGGGCCTTGCAGGCCCAGGCGGGGCGCAGCTCGAGATCAGAAGAGGAGGAGGAGGAAGACAGGCTGCGCTGCGTGCGCCAGGAAGAGGCAGGACTAAGTCCTCAATATGCAGCATCTGGGGTAGGGCCCCAGCCGGGTGGGCAGGATAGGGACGTGGCTCTAAAGACTGACACCTGCCACCAGAGTGACAGCGGAAAAGGGCAAAGGGAGGAATCCAGAGCATCCCTCAAAACCAGCCCACCTCCCACCGCACACGTGGGGGCTGGCAGGCTGGGCGGGGGGAGGCAGAGGAGAGACAGGGCCAGAGAGAGGGAGCATCCATGCACGGGGTCCCCAGCCGAGTTCCGAGTTTCGGCAATGTGGATTTTGGCCAGGAGTCTTAACTCGTTACGCTCTGGACACTCTGAAAGGTGACAAAGACCAGCCCTGGGAGTGGGTGAGGGAGGAAGGAGGTGGCAAAGGGCGTCCCAACAGCCTCCTGGAGGGAGGGACACCGAGGTGGAAGCAAAGGGTAGGGAGAGACGCTGCATGCTCCAAGGTGGAAGAGGGCAGGTGGCTGGAATACGGGGAAACTGGGCTGGGCTAGAACGGCTCTAGATGGAACAGCGCCCCCCAGCAGATATCATGAAGTCCCCTAAGGTCTCAGAATTGAACTTATTTGGAAACAGTCTTTATAGAAGTAAACTGTTTCGTTTTGAGACAGGGTTTCCAGTGATGCAGTTCAGGCTAGCCTTAAACTCACTATGTAGCCCAGGCTGGCCTGAAACTCTTGGTGATCCTCCTGCTTCAGCCTCCTGAGTGCTAGGATTACAGGTGTGCCTCATCACACCTGCCCTACACTGACCACCTTCAAGTGAGGGTGGGCTGTATTCCAGTATGACCACTGCCCTAAAAGGGGGGGGGGGAAATTTGAGCACACAGAATGAAGATAGTTCATTTTGTTTAAACAGTGGACTTGCTAAAGCCCTCAGCTGCCTAGACACCAACACTACAGATCCCTTGATTTCAAAGTTTTACCTCTAGAAATGTGAGGCACTATATGCCTGCTAACCTGTCTAGGTTATGGCACTATGGTAAGCACTTCGAGGAAACAGAACTCAAAAGGATGTACATTTATAAAATTTTAGATTGATTTATTTAGCCGACACCAGGGATTGAGACCAGGGCCTTTGCACTGAGGTACACTGTAGGCCTTTTTTAATATTTGTCTTTATTTTTTGACAGGGTCTAAGTCACTAAGTTGCCCAGGCTGGGCATAAAGTTGCAATCCTCCTACCTCAGCCTCCCAGAGTACTGGAATTACAGGTGTGCATCATTACGCCCCACCAGGGTGCATATTTTCCAGAGCTAAAAAAGTACACCTACTCCAGATGTTCCCCAAGTCCTCATCCTCTTCCCTTATACCTGTCAGTCTGTGAAGCATGTTTTTGACCACTGGGTAATCTTCAGGGAGATCTTCCTCTGAGCTGGATGGCTTGGGTGTGGGCACATCAAACCTGGACAGGTGGGGGGAGAGTCAGGGAGTCACTAGACAGCGTCTGCCTTTTGAAGTGATTCTGCCCCACCCCCCAACTTCTAACCCACTGGGTTCTCCAGAGCAGGAATCAGAGAGGCCAATGCCTGAAAGTGCGAACAAAGACTTGGGCCCGGTTGGGAAGGTAGCAAGGGAGAAACAGTAAAAGCGGGACTCACCATCTCCATGTCTCCCTCATACCCTAGGAAAGGTAGAAGGGGATGTCAGCCTGGGTTTTACTCCTCCTCCCACCTCAGCGCTCGACTCTCCGCGATCTCACTTCACAAGCACGCGCGCGCACACACACACATACACACACACACGCACGCACACACACGCACGCGCACACACACACACCGCGGTCTTTTCCATCTTTCTCTCCCCTCCCCTCGCCTGACCCCCTCACTACTTCTCCCCCTCTCCATTCCCCAAGGGTTCTCGATGTTCCTCCCCAGCATCCGCATCGCCCATGTCTATACTTTGCCCCTGGAGAACTCACTGTCCCCTCTTCCTTCCCGGCCCACCTTCGCCTCTCCCCGTAGCCCCGTCCTTCTCCACCTTCCCTAGTGTACCCTAGTGTACCCTAGTGTACCCTAGTGTACCCTAGTGTACCCTAGACAAACGCTGCCCTGAGCACCCGGACCAACGCCCGCCCAGAGCCCTTAGGCTAAGAGTTGGAATCTCGGAGCCTTTCAATAAAATTTCCCCTCTCGCAGTAAAAGTCCAGCGACGTTTGTTGGGCCCTTTACTTCGCGTCTGGGCTGGCCAGGGACAGATTCTAGGAGGCGCAACGGATCGCGCAGGAGCCAGAAGAGGGCGCTGGACGCGGTCCCCTCATTGCTGTCCAGCAAGCTCGGGGGTCGCAGGCCAAGAGGGGAGCGAGGAGAGGAAACTCAGTTCTCCTAACTATGCCAATTACACCTCGACTAACTAGGTCTGCGAAGGCTTAAACGCGCGGCCGCAAGACCCAACACGGGCTGGACTGCCGGGGAAGCCAGCGTCCGACGCCCGCGGTCGCGCAGGCGGGTGGAGCCGCTTGGCGGCGCAGTAGCAGGGGTCAGGCGGCGCGGGGTGGGGCGCGGGCGAGCGGGGACGGGAGAGCAGCGCGGCCCCACGGCCCGCAGCGCTCTCCTGCCTCGCCCATGCAGCCCCTAGGCGCCGCGCTTCTCGGGTCCCGCCCACTCTGGCCCGCGCCGCGGCCCGCGCCCTCTCTTCCCCTCTCGGCGCGCCCCAGGCCTCTTCCTCCCAGACCCGGCTGCGCCGCGCTGCGCGCCCTCACCTCTCCGTGGGGGTCCAGGTAGCCCATGGTGGGGATGCGGCCCCCACGACGCCGCGCCACGCGGACGCCCGGCTCGGCCAGCTTCTCCCGCAGCCCGCGGCTGATCCGCACCTCCACGGCCAGCCGCACATTGGACCTCAGGCTGCGGCGGGGGCACGGCAGGCCGCAGCGCGGGCAGGCGGTGGGGAGCGCCGGGGCGCCAGGGCGCGGCGGGGCTCCCCAGCGGCGGGCCAGGCACGCGCGGCAGAAGCTGTGTTCGCACGCCAGGAGCACCGGATCCTCGAAGGGGCCCCCGCAGAGCGGACACGTCGCCAGCTGCTCCAGACGCTCCACCAGCCCCGGGCCCAGCTCGGCCGCCTCCATGGAAAGCTGGGTTCGAGGAGCCAGGCCCTGCGCGACCCCCGAGGCCGCCTGCGAGCGCGCAGCGCCCCTGCTGCTGCCTGACACCGCGGCCCGCGCTCGGACTCCCGCATCCAAGTCCCGCGCTCCTTTGCCTGCGATCGCCTCTCCTGCCCGGAGCCACTCCCCGACAGGCTCCGCACCGCAGCGGGCTTTATAGGGGGAGGTGGTTCCCGCGGGAGGTAAACATCAGCCCTTGCGCAACGCCCATCTGGTTCTCCCACTTCCCTAGTGGGGATCGGGGGGAAAGGGTGGGGCCGGGAGGCACCTGGGTCCGGGTCCACGGGGCCGCCAGGGGGCGCTCTGGGGGCTGGGTGCCTAGAAGGAGCCCCCTGTGCGCCCCAGGGCGTGAGTCTCACCCCCACCCTCAGCCGGTGGTGCGCGGCGGGAAGGGAGCCCGGCTCGCTCTCGCCAAGTGGCCCGCATCGCCCAGGTGTGAGTCAGCCGTGTGCCTGGCACACCTGACATCCGATCCCGGTGTGTGCGGCTTGGCAGCTGTGAGTGCGGCTTTGTGTGGCCGTCCCTCCCGCCGTGGCGCTCTCCTTCCCACCTTCCCGTCGTGGGCCCAACGTGCGGAAGGGATGGGAGTCGCGCCCACAGTCCCACCGGGAGTCAGGAAGGGCTGTCTCAGCTTCCAGTCTCCCTACGCCTGTCTTTCTGGTTCTTTCTCTCGGTTTTCCCTCTGTGTGTTTTTATTGCCCTTTGTCTCTTTCCCTCTTTCTTTGAAATGTTCCCCAGGATTATCTGCTCGTGCTGTGTTAATTCACTGAGACTGGAGATCTGAAATAGCCAGGTTAAACATCGAGGGAATGACCAGAATGAGCCTCGCTGTGACCCAACCCTGCCTTTTTTTTTTTTTTTTTTTTTTTTTTTTTTGCCTTTCTTTTTTCTTTTTGATTTTGGAGACCAGGTCTTACTATATAGTTGAGGCTGGCCTTGAACCTTGAATTCACTATGGCCTCAAACTCAAAGTGATCCTCCTGCCTCAGCATCCCGAATGTACTACACGTTGGGCTTCAACACTGCGTTTAAAAAATTTGTGTTACTGCAGATCTCTGGAACTCCCTCCCCTTTCCTGATTTGTCTTCTGATTTTCCTTTGTGTCCTCTTCCCTCACCTGCATCTTTTTGTCCTTTGTCCTCTCCCGCCTCCTCTTCTCTTCTCTTTTGTTATGTGCTCTTTTCTCTTCTTGGCTCCTCTAACTTTCCCACTCCAAGCCTTTCTGTTGAGACATCCTTCTTTGGAGGATGGTGAGTAAATACCTAGGTGCATACGGTTGTGATCATACACACCACTGTACAACCTGTGTTCAGTGACGTCCAGATGGACATGAGCTCACAGTATGCAGACACCCCAGACACAGTGGAATAACACACCCACCCTTAGTATCCCTAGAGTGGACACCCACGATTATTTAAGATGGCAATATATGGGGGGGGCAGAGACACTGTCATAGCTTTATTGTCAGTAATAACAAGAACACAACAGCAATGAATCTTTAAAGAGTAGGAATGCTTTATTAGGCAGTCCTTACAGCACTGACTTCCTCCTCCCCTCCCCTGCCAGGGGAGCACTCAAGTGTGACACGGTGAAAAACAAAGCTGCACAAACAAACACATATACATTGTTTTGACACAAACCTCTCAGCTCAGTGGTCACAGATTGCACAGATAAAACTTGATCAAGCAAAAGGCTACCGATATGATTAACATCTGTTTGTTGTTTTTTGGTACTGGGAATCACATTCAGGACCTTGTGCTTGCCAGGCAGGCACTGGGCCACTGAACTATAGCCCCGGCATCTGTTTTTATGAAAGGTGGGCTTCTGTATTATGGTAGGTAGAATGATGTCCCTTCAAAAATGATAGTCTTTGATGTGAGGGCAGTCTGGCTGTGACATCTGTCACCCCACTGATCAGCAGGGTGGATTTGGCTGACCTGGCTGGTTGGGCAGGTGTCTCCTTCCTTTCTCTTGCTCCATGTGCCTCCCTGCCAGAGGACCATCTCCCCATAGAGGAGGGCACTTCTTACATCAAGGATGTTCGAGCAGCTGCTCTCCCCTGCTGGGCCATCCAGACAAGCTCTCAAAAATGATATGTGTTAATTCCTGTAAACTGGATATGTTACCTTGCTTGGCAAAGAGGAATTAATTTGCATGTGGAATTATGTTTGGTAATCAAGACACTATTCCAGAGATCCAGAAGGATCCACAGGTTCTTAAAGTAGATGCAAAGAGAAGCGTGAGAGACAGCAGTATGAGTCGGATTTGGTCTGACATTGCTGGCTTTGAAGACCAAGGAAGGGAGCTGTGAGCTGACTGGTGGATGAACTCTAGAAGGGACGGACACACACCAAGGAAATGGTTTCTCCATCAGAGCTCCCAGAGGAACAAACCCTGAAGACACTTTTCTAGACCTGTGAAATACCAGGCCATCAGATGGTGTGTGTTGTTCAAAGCCCCTGAGCTTGTAGGAATCCATTCCTTTCGCTTTTTTTTTTTTTTTTTTTTTTTTTTTGTCTTTTTCCTTTTTATCGGTACCGGGGATCGAACTCACGACTGCCTGCTTGCAAGGCAGGTGCTTATGCCACTGAGCTAAACCTCCAGCCCCAGGAATCCATTCCTACAAGCTGCAAGAAACTAATACACAGGCTTGCCCCTTCTGGCCTCGGTCCCTCTGGGCCCATATGCATTTGTGTGTTCTTGTGCCTCCCTATTTGTCCTGTTTTCTGGATTTCACTGCCTTTCTTGGCCTTCTTTCTGGTTCTCTTTTTTGCCTCTTTCCCTTTGGGTTGATTCTTTTCCTTAGCTCTAGCCCCACCTTCAAAGTCTCTTAGACAATGATTCTTTCTGGATTGGGGCCTAGAGTCCTAGAAAGTTAGATGCCTGTGTCCCTGCAGGGCCTTACAGGTGCCCTCGAGGTTCCCAACCTTGGTTTCATGTTGGAATCATCTGGAAAACTTTATGCTCGTGATGCCCACATGACACAGCCCCTAAGCTGGCCCTTCAGGGGGAGTTGTAGGCACTGGCAGTTTTAGAAGCCCTACAAGGGGCCGCAGTGCTTAGCCACACGTCCTCTAGAGTGACAGCAGTGGGCGCTGGGCCTGCTCCTCACGCTTCACTCCTTCAGCTCGAGCTGCAGCTGCTCGTGTCCTCTGTCCTCAAGGGAGCCAGGCCAACCTGCTGTCCACCTTTGCACTCACCGCCGGTCCTGCTTGGGCCCCTCTTCTGTTCAAGTCCCATGTGGCTGTTGCCATCTTCTCACTAGGCTTCAGTCCAAAGGCAACTTAAAGAGAATCTTTGTTGCTGTTGCCATTGTTTTGTTCTGTGATTGAACCCGAAGCCTGTGCATGCTGCTTGTTTCTCTTTCTTTTTTTTTTAAATCTCTTTCTTTTTTTTCGTTTCATTTTATTTCCTGATACCAGTAATCAAACTCAGAACCTCGCACTTGCCAGTCAGACGCTGTGCTACTGAGCTATAACCCCAGACATTTGTTTGTTTTGTTTTTGTGCATGATGCTAAGCAAGTACTTTACCAGTGAGCTACATCCCAACCAGAGAGGCCTGCTCACCACTGGGGCTTCAGGCGTTTTCCTCGGAGGCTCTCCCCGTCACTCTCTCTGTCCTCAGGTGCACTTGCAGTCTTTGCCATCGCTGTCACTGTCTGCACTCATCTATTTATCCGCTTATCGGTTCTGCCCAGCGATGTGCAGCAGTGAGGAGCAGGGCCCAACCTCACGTGCTCAGCTGCTTGAGGCCGAGCGCGGGGCAGAGTCTCCGTCAGCCTCTGTCCAGGGCGACATCACTCTGTCCTCATCACTGACGGATCAGGCACAGCAAGAGGAGCATTTGGCTGGCTCCGCTTATGCCTTCGAAATGGCGAAGACACTCCTACCCTTTTTGATCAGTCGTCCTCCTTCCAGGTGGGTCCCAAGCTCTGTGCTGGGAACCCTCCTGCAATGAGACAAGAGGCGCGATGTGATCAGTGGTCGAAGTTCATGAGGCATTGCAACCCCTTCTCTGAGCAGATGCCGAGGGCTCCTCGGATGGTGCCCCTCAGCCTTCACGCTAGTGATCCCGGAGCTCTCACTAAAGGATCAAGGACATGGGTCAGAGAAAAGGCATCTGGACCGGACTCTGCCAGGAAATAGCTCACTTCTTAACACCTTCTCCCTACCTTTCCGACTTCCTAGCAATTCTCTCTTGGTCCTTTTACTCCCTCTCTAGTTCATTGTCTCCTTAGAGATCCAGAGGGTGGAGATGGTGTTGTGAGTGTTGGGCTGGCTTCACCTCCTCCACTGAGCCACAGCTGGATCCCACCTCTCTCTCTGTTCCGGTCCATCTCCTCCCTCCTTCCGCAGGTGCCTCCCATGTGTCTGCCCCACCCTTTCCCGCCTCCTCCTGTGGTGTAAGACAGCACAATAGCCATTCATAACACAGGGAAAAATCAGGTAGGGCAGGCCTTGGCCTAACCTGCTGTTCTTTTCCTTCTCTTCCTTTTCTTCTTCCGTCCTTTTGTTTGTTCTCCGTCTCTCTCTCTCTGCCTTTCTGTAGTTGCCCTCCTCGTAAACAGTCCACAAGTCCTTGAGCCTTCAAGGAGAGGTAGGTGTGAAGAGGTGCATAGGAGACCAGACACTCGGTCCCAGTCCTTACCCTGAGGACGTGCGGTGAGGCGGGTGAAGTGCACCCTTCATCAGCCGAAATCCGTCCTTACTAAGTGAGGGTGGGGTGAGGCAGGCCCGGCAGGAGTAGCCAAGATCAGCTGATTGGGTGCACGAGTAGGGAAGAGCAGATAAGACCAGATAGGCTTCGGCTGGCAGATCAGTGAGGGAAGGTGATCTGGGAAGGTGTCCTGGAGGAGGTGCCCTGAAATGAAGGGAAGAGTAAATCAAATGACTGAAAAGTGGAAAAGCCCACACCAAAAGCATGAAGCATACTTGTGGAGAAAACCAGAAGTGAGAAGAGAAGGTTCTGGAGGGAAGAAGCATGAATAAGAAACCTCAGTTCTTTTTCACTACACCCTTCCCTTGGTTTTCTTCAGTCTCAATTGGTTGTCTAATTATTTGTCTTTTAAGAAAGACCGCAGTTTGCTATGTGCTTTAAAATGACTGTAAGTTCTCTTAGAAAAAGCCAGTTTACACTGACTGTGGAGCCTTGTAATCCTAGCACTCAGGAAACAGAGGCAGGAGGATCACCTTGAGGTTGAGGTCAGCATAGTGAGTTCAAGCCAGCCTGACTCTGTCTCAATGAGGGCACAGTTTTTCTAAGCAGCTGCTGCAGTGACTTGAGGTACAAGCTCCCCACCCCACCCCACCCAGGGAATGGACAGAGAGGTGGAGATTCAGCCAGATCAGCCCAATCAGCCCTGAGGCTCAAGACAATGACCTACAGTGCTGGAATGTCACCTCACAGCTGCTGCTCTGACCCTGTAACAGCTCTGGGCCGTGTCTGGCTTTGGCAGTGAGCACTCTGGGATCCTGGCACAGGAAAAGGTTTGACTTGGCTGGAATAGCTGGTTCGAGGGAGATCCAGGGCTGAAATCTAATTTCCTGGCCCCAAATTCTGTGTTCTTTGTCTTAAGGGTTAATCCTTCCTTTGGAGCCTTTGCTCTCTCATTTCTACCCTTCTTGACAACCCCTCCTGTCTCTCTCTCTGTGACGCGTGCCTTCACGTTCATCTTGGATGCACACCTGTCCCCTGTCTAACAGTCCTCCCCCATCAATGTCACGGGCACTCCTTTCACGTCATCTAAATCCTCCCTAAGACACTCTATTCATTTCCCTGTTTGAGTTTTCCAGACCCTCTGGTCCCCACCCTTCCAGCAGTATTCCTTCAAGGCGTGCGCCTCTGTCCATCCATTCTACGAGGTCGTTCAGCAGGGTCCCTGGAGTTAGGGACACAGTGGAGAACAAACCCAGCTCTCTGGCCCTAGTCTATTGTGAGAGACCAAGAAGCAAGCATTAAAAGGTAATTGCAGGTTGTGGTAAGTGCTTTCAGGAGTATAAAGAGAGTGGCACATGGAGGTGCACACTGCTGTGGGTGGACATTGATCTTGATGGCGTACAGAACATTTCAGATCCATGGGGACCAGGATCAGGAGTTGGGCTGTGTTCTTTTTGCATGAGGACTACCTGGTCTAATTTGAGTATTTAGAAGCTCATTTTGTCTGAAGAGATTTTTCTTGCCATTTCTTTTCCTATCTATATCCTTCACCTCATTTATATTCTAGACGTGCATCTCATTTCTGTTTATTGTGAGGGATGATGCACTGCCCAGCAAAGGAGTCCTTAACATTTCAGGGGCCTCTGAGACCACTCGATGTAGCTAATTTTATTCTGGCTTCCACCTTATTAAACGCTTTAAAGAATCAGACTCAGTCAGAGTTGAGAGGGACATTAACACATGTGGTTTGATCCTTATATCATCAATAAGAAATCGAGCCCTAGGTGACGTAGCTTGTCCCGCGTAACCATGTGTGAGTGGAAGTCACTTTCCATGCCTCACCTCTAGGAATGGAGAAGTAGCTTGCTCCCTGTCACTAAGACATGCTTTTCAGCTAAGGGTTCCAACCGAACATTCCTGCTGTGGCTAGAGCCTTGGCCCAGATTCATGAGTACTAGAAGGCGCAAAGGAGAGGTCTGTACCACAACCCTGGGGTCTCACAGGATGCCAGGCAGCTTGGGGTCTGCAGGCAGGAGAGACCACACACGCACACAGAGTCCAGCCTGCAAGGGGAAGGGGGCGATGAGAGCTGTACCCACAGGCCTCTGCAGGAAGTGGAAAGTGCTGGCTGTGTTTTAAGCCGTAAGGGACATAATTTAGGAAACTACACAAGAAAATCGTTGACAGGGTTGGAGAAGCAGAAGACTGACAGGAGGTCAGTCTGGACTGGACTTGGCCTCGAGTTCTCTCACACAGGCGGAAGGGCTGCAGCTCCTGTCACATGGCAGCCCTCAGACCACTGCTCTCTGCGGGCCCCTCGGCCTTCCTCTGCGGGACGGTGGCCTCGCCTCATTTCTGCTTCTCCAAACCCCTACAAATACATCGAATTAGAAGCACTGAATTCATGTCCATAATTCTAGTGGCAAAGGATTCTGACAAATGGAGTTTTTACCTTCTAATTTCTCCAAATAGGAGGATGGAGCCAAGCCATGAATCTAGGGTTGCCAGGTGAAATACAGGACCACCATGTAAATTTGAATTTCAGATAAGCTGTGCATTTTTTAGAGTGAGTGTCTCCTAAATATTGCATGGGGCATATTTAAACTAAACGATTCTTGATGGTTTATCTGAAATTCAAATGGAAATGAGTGTCCTGTATTTTGGGGGTTTATTTGTTTTGGTACTGGAAAAGTTTTGGCCCAGACAGGGCACTGTAGCTGGTAAAGCCTCAGGTGGAACCAAGGAGCTCCATCTCCCCCACCCCTGGGATTTACCTATGGCTCTATCTTCCCCACCCCTAGGAATTTGTCCCTGGCACCAATGAGATACTTGTGCATCCCTAATGCCCCCTCAGGCTCCACCCCAAACTTAAGCTACATGTATGTCTCCACTCCACGTGTCCCACGGAGAGATCGCCAACCCCAGGGGGAGATGCCAGACCCCAGGGCTTCGGGGGTCTCTCCCTGCATTCTTAAAATAAAGGTCATTTATATTTCATACTTTTTATCTTTTCAGCCCCCCCCCCAATTCTATCAGGTACCAGGAATCAAATTCATGACCTTGCACTTGCCAGGCAGAGACGAGTGCCCTAGCCTGTCCTATATATTTATCTGTGAAATCTGACAGCTCTATACATATATAGCACAGATTCTGGTAACAGAGTTTCCTTATGTAGTTGGGCTCGAGGAGCCCTCCCTGAGGAGGTGAGGTTTAAGAGGACACCTGACAGATGCAGAGTTCATCAAGCACAGCAAGGTGGGATGGGCTTTCAGGACAGAAGAGACTTGCAAAGACCCCAGGGAAAGAATAATTTGGGCAAATTTAAGCACAGTAAATGAGCCAAAGATGGTACAAGATGATGATGAGTTAGGCAAGCAGTAGACCAAGCAGTTTTGAGAAGGAGAACAAGACCCGAGTAGATGCGGGAAGCCAGAGGCACTGCACACTGGTGGCTTTCTCTTCAGCTATGCAAGCTAGTCATCCCGAGGAGAGAAAATCCAGGCTGGAAATTTAGGCAGGAGATGTTGGCTTCAGTTAACGGGATCTATTGGAGCTGGATGAGCCAGCCAATTTGAAGTACATTTTGTAGACATGCTGGCAGAATTTTGTAGGTGTGCTGAAGTGATCTTCGGGAAATGAGCGTGAGGAAAATCAAAGATGATTTCCTAAACCCCGGTGTGGATAACCCCAGTGGGTCAGTGTGGGTGCTGTGGCTGAGACTGGAAAAGCTCTGAGTGAGTATCGACAGGGGACCACAAGAGAGGAATAAGGAAGCCAGGTATGGTGGCACACACCTATAATCCCAGCACTAGGGAAACCGAGGCAGGAGCATCATTGCAAGTTTGAGGCCAGCCTGGGCTACAAACTGAGGTCAAAGCCAGCCTGAACTGCATAGCAATGCCCTGTCTCAAAAAGACAAAATAAAATAAAATAGAAAAGAAAGAGTAAGGACAGATGGTGAGATCTCTTTTTTTTTCGTCTTTTTCCTTTTTATCAGTACCAGGGATTGAACTCACGACTGCCTGCTCGCAAGGCAGGCACTTATGCCACTGAGCTAAATCCCCAGCCCCAAGACACCTCTTTTTTTTTAGGTGACAACAGTACAGGACAGCCTCTGTCTGCAGAATGTTCCCCAGCAAGGGTGCACCCTCTCTCTGCTCTCTTCCTCTCGACCCCCTCACTGCCCTCTTTTCCACCATTTCCTCCTTATTCTTTTTCCTTTCTTTTTGCTCTGTGGTCATCCTATTTCCTAGGCATCATCAGAGGCGCAGCCAGTGAGCTGGACAGAGTGTTGGAAGCTAGAAAGGAAGGGTCTCCTGTGACTTTGTGATTCACTTTCTTAGCGGACTTGGTAAACCATTATGCTCTCTTCCCTGGACTCCGGGAAGAGCTGAGGGAGCGTGGGAGCAAGGGAGAAGAACGCAGCCTGGAGCAGACGGGGAAGGAACTGTACCATCTGCTAGCACAGGGAACCCACTGAGCCCATCCCTTCATTTAGAGTTGAGACAGCTGAAGGACATACATGTCTCTCACAAGCAGTGGCATTTCAAGATTTGACTCAACTCTGTTAGTTTTGTGACTATAGAGTGAAAGTAATTGTACATTATATCAAAGGATATGATGTGTTCGTGTAGTGGGAACTGAACTCAGAGCCTTCCCCTGCGCTACATCCCCGGCGTTTTTTTTTTCCTTTGAGAAAAGTTCTTGCTAAGTTACTAAACTGCCCAGGATGGGCTTAAACTTGCAATCCTCTTGCCCAGCTCCCCCCAGTGCCACCATGTCCAGCTCAAAGAATTATTTTAAGGATCCGTGAAATACTAATTTACTCAATAATATTTATTGAGCACTAGAATGTGCCTGCTGTAGTGTGGGGATCTGGAAATTCAGTGGAAGACAGAAACCTGCCCTTGCAGGGATTTATGTCCTAGGGAAGAAATCTTTAACAAGCAGATAAGAAAATGTGTCACGGGTACAGAGCAGTGTTCCTTATTCAAAATGCTTGGAACTACATGCGTTTCAGATTTAGAATTTTTTTTTCAGATTTTGAAATATTTGCATATACATATTTTAGGGGTAGAACACAAGTCAAAACATGAAATTCATGTATGTTTTACATGTACCTTATAAACATAGCCTGAAGATAATTTTTACAATATTCTTGGTTTTTTTTTTTTTGTTTTTTTTTTGGTCTTTTTCCATTTTATCGGTACCAGGGATCAAACTCACGACTGCCTGCTTGCAAGGCAGGTGCTTATGCCGCTGAGCTAAATCCTCAGCCCCTAATTTTTACAATATTCTTAAGGATCTGCATTTTGACTGTGGCTCCTCACATGAATTTGGTGCTTATGCTGGTACTTAAAAAGTTTTGAATTTGGGGATTATTTTCAATTTCAGATTTTTGATTAGGGATCTTAGGCTTGTACCATAAACCAAAATCAAGTGGAGGAGAAAGATGGGCTGACTAGGTGGGGCAGACTGTGATCTCCTAGGTAACATCTGACCAAACACTGCAGTGAGGTAAGTGAAGGTGTCAAGTGCCCGCGTGGAGCATGCCCATGCACAGTCTTGGAGGGGAAGCAGATGAGAAGGTCTGACCCAAAGCGCTGGTGTGAGACCAGCAGACGGCCTGGTGGCCAGGGAGGGGACACAGACCGAGCCGTTGTGTGAGGAGCAGGATGAGGACGGAGAGGGCCTGTGCTGGGCGGGCTGGCAGAGCTGGGGGGCCTGCTGTGGGTGGAGCGGCTGCGAGAAGACCTGAACGGACCTGATGTCAGGGCCTCGGGCCCTGTGCTGGGAAGCGGTGCTGCCCATGGCTGAGGATGGAAGAGTCCAGCAGCTCCGTGGAGGGGTGAAGACACATGTGGTGTGAGATGTGCGGCCCAGATGAGGCTGTGGCAGGAACAGGAAGAACAGGAACAGTTCGTGTTAGTGTTAGCAGCTTCCAGCCGTGAGGCTTTCATGTTGGCTCACCCATCTTGCAACTGCACCAGTGGAGCGTGGCATTCCAGTTCCAGGGAGGAGCCTGGGCCCTGCTGTCTGCCGTGTCGCAGCAGCCTGTGGCCATCGGGGCTCTGGTGCTTCTCCCAGCACAGCGCTAGACCCTGGCTCCTGGGTCACAGCGACATGGAGCATGTCAGGAAAAACACAGGCCATGCATCAGAAACATGAGAGGAAGCCTGCGGCACACCACAGGGACGCAGATTGACCTGGAAAGCCCTAATGAGCCAAGGCCCAGCCCTGCCCACATGACAGATGGCTGCCCTCCTCCCTCCGTGACCCGCTGCCAAAGCATCCCAGGCATGTCCTGGCACCCGGCCTGCCAACCAGTGCCCGGGCCCTCCCTCTGATCCCCTCCGAGCCTCCTAGGCCCCTACTCAGCCCTGCCTGGCCAGCCCTGCATCCTCAGGAGGAAAATTGGCCCAGGGCCCACTGTGGGCTCCAGGCTCCCAGGCCAGCCCCTCCCTGCATGGAGCGTGGCCTCTGCGTGTGGCCTTTCATCTGCCACCTCTGAACACATTCTGTGAGCGTCCTTGAAACCAGGGCTTGGTGGAGACATCCACACCTGTGCCCACTCCCTGGCCCCTAGGGTACATGTAGGGCGGGAAGGGAGGAAAAGATCTTGAGGAAGCAGAGAGAAGGGACCGACCAGAAGGGACTCGAGACGGTTCCAAGGCACCAGGACCTGCACCCAGGAAGAGAAAATCAGGAGTCACAGATGTGGATGCTGAGGAGGAATTGGGGGAAATTGGCTCTAAGTTAGACAGAGGGCGTGGCAGGGAGAAGCAGCAGCCCCAGAAGAGGGATGAGCAAGCACCAGAAGGAGAGGGCCCTGCAGAAGTGGCTGGGCCTGGGTTTCCTCAGAGCAGTGTGAAATCAGAAATCAACTTGGAGGCTCAGTAGTGACACTTTTCTATTTTTAGGGTACTTTATGTCTCAATCCTTCCTGTTATCATTTCTCCCACTTTATAGGTCAAGAGACTGAGGCTTGAGAAAGTGAACTGCCCCAAGTCACATAGCTGGTAAGCTCTTTTTGTCTTACACTACAGCAGCAGCTACTTCTGCATGCTAAATGGAAATGAGATATTGGACTTTTAGTAAGTTAAGGATTTCTGCTCCACAA